AATCACTTACATGTGATGTATAGGATGCTACACAGGTCACAAAAGATAAAGTGTCAGGAGAAATAAGCTTAATCGCCATGTCGGTTTTCTTTATTGCACTCTCAAGACATAACATTAAATAGAACAATTTTAAATGTAAATAAAGTGTCAGTTGTACATGTCAGTAAACATTATATATAAAATAAAGTCATAACAGTAATAACAATATAAAATAAACTGTCCCAGGTGTAGGGATATTCTCAGCAGCATGCACACCTTAGTGCAACGTTGTGTGTCGTGTGTCAGTATTTACAAAAACTATACCAAATAAACTGTTATTAAATGCAGTTTGTCGCTCATCCTGCCGCTGCGCCGACGCTTCCTCATGGCGCAGCGCCGACGCTTCCTCATGGCGCAGCGCCGACGCTTCCTCATGGCGCAGCGCCGACGCTTCCTCATGGCGCAGCGCCCCACACTTCATCCTGGTGCTGCTGGCGCTCCATCTGCTGCTTGAACACTTCTGCCTGGCGCTCCATCGAGGTGAGCATCTTGTCCTCCGTTTCCTGGGCCTTGGTGAACAGCACCATCTGATCTCCACGCAGCGACTCTTTCACCACGGCACGCCGGTCCTCCAACGCCTGGGCGGTGTCAAAGAAATTCGCATCCCGTGTCCGCTTTCCTAAGAGGGGAAAATAAGCAATATACAATATACAAGTTTAGTCGCCATGTAGTTTTACAACATACTAGGAATGTGTTTTTTGTATTTTCACAAATAGAATTAAGGTTTCACAAATCTGAAACTGTGTTATAAAGAATCTTTTGACTCTCTGGGATAATCCAGTCCAGATTTGATGAGTCTAGGTATAGTGGTTTTAGATCAGGACCTGGTCTAATGTGGTCTACATGTAAAAAAAGCACTGAAATCTCCCTTTTTTTTTATTTTCACAAATAGAATTAAGGTTTCACAAATCTGAAACTGTGTTATAAAGAATGTTTAGACCCTCTGGGATAATCCAGTCCAAATAAATCGGCTATGCAGCGATTCAAGAGGTTCACACACGGAGGATTGTTCCTTTTTGAAGAGTGCTTCATGTATGCTTGAACTTTGTTTAATGTTGTTGAGGCAAGTTAAACATAAAATATGATGAATATTATGAAATAAACATGATTGTGAACATCAGTTCGATGCGTAACGTTCTTTCAAGACAAAGTTACAGTGTGTGTGTACTGTGTGCTCGGGGCCGGTGTTAGCCTATTATGGCTAGCATGGCTAGCTTGATCTACTGAGCAAATAAAAGTACATCTGAGACCATTATTGTGCAGATTAAAACCCCAGTGCATGTAGTTGATTTTACCTTCGTCGTGGTCGTCATCGTTGGCCACTGAATCCGCCGTTTGTAGTCCTGCCCGAGTTTCTTTATTTTTAGCCGGTGTGCCGTGGGGCTGTGCACATTCCCAGGTCGAGTGAAAGCTACTGAACTGGCTTCAGTGCATTCCCTGGGTCGCGTCCTCTGCGTAGATCTCCAGAAGCGCCGACACCTCCTCATCATTTCTTGATGCTTGCCATAACTGCTTTCAAAAACAAACACAACGCACGGAGCGTTGTGTTTTTGTAGCGAGGAAAAACAATGGCGGCTCTACACAACATTTTCAGAGTTGTACGGGCGTGGTTTGCAATTCGCCCAGCCAATCAGCACTGGGGAACTTTTGGAGCTCTTTTCACCCACAGAAAAGTACGCTCTCTGAGTTGGCTCTAAAAATGGGGGTAAAAGTACCCGAGATTAAGTACGATTTTTGGTGTGAACGCGACTCACGGAACTAAAACGCGAAAAGTACGGTGAAAGTACTCCGGTGTGAACGCGGCTGATGTGGACAAAGCTCGTTTGCCATGTTTTCGCGTTGACACGAGTAGAGTAGTCTGTCCAAACAGCCGGCCAAAAGGCGTCATATTCAGTCGGAGAAATGCACAATTTTCGACTTCCTTAACTCGTAGCTCTGTTGCCCCAATTACGAGTAACGTTATCACATCAGGTGCGCAGAGGTGGGAGAAGTACTCAGATCTTGTAGCTAAGTAAAAAAATACCATAGTGTAGAAAGAGTTCCTCAAGTCAAAGTATGATCATCAAAATATATTTAAAGTAGCAACAGTAAAAGTAGTCATTGTGCAGATTGGTCCATTTCAGAATAATATATATGATATGTTTTATAATGATTGATCATTAAAGTGTTCTCAAAGCTGGTAAAGGTGCAGCTAGTTTGAATGACTTTGTATACTGCAGGGTAGCTTGTGGATTTACTCCAGGTGGAACTAAAGTCTGATTTAACACTTGATTATATTTCACATCATTCATCCACATCTGTAAAGTAACTAAAGGGATTACATACATGTAGTGGAGTAGAAGTACACAGTAGCAAAACATTTAAATACTCCAGTAAAGTACAAGTACCTCAACATTTTACTCAAGTACAGTACAATATTTTAACATAATTATATATATATTTCATTTATTTCACATTTAAATAAAGCAATTAATTCGGTTAACAATTTGTTAGTTTTTTCCTTTAAAAAATAACAAAAAGTAAATACAAGAATACCGTTAAAGTACCGGATCGATAAGCAGTATTGATAAGACTAGTAGTACTGTAGAAAACCTTAACGATACCCATCCCTAGATATTACACAAGTAAAGTGTTAAGAGAGTGAAATGTTGCTTTACGAATTTCAACACTTGATGCTGTCACCTTGATTACAATGTCAGAAACCTGTATTTGCCTAACTGAATTGGTTTAAAGAGAGAAAACATTTTGACTAAAAGTTGACTAAAATGTAATTTTTCATTGACTAAAAGTTGACTAAAACGTTTTGAGTTTTCGTCGACTAAAACTAGACTAAAACTATGAAGGATAGAAATGACTAAAATGTGACTAAAACTAATAACCATTTTCGTCTAAAGACTAAGACTAAATCAAAAACAGCTGCCAAAATTAACACTGGACTGTAGTTTACAGCATCCTGGCATTCATTCATTTATGGTGCATGATTAGCAATACAAATATTCAGCACAGTGAGACGAGGTGATGTCCATTAGAATAGAATCCTTTATTGTCATCATACAGGTACAATGAGATGAGTAGAGCTACTCCTTTTTGTAACGTGCCATCGGAAATCAAAAAAACAAACGAGACGTACAACATTCAGGAGAAGACAACATACAAGTATTCATACTTCAATATGCAGATGAAGTTAAAGTGCAGGAATATATCGGTTTAAGTAAAATAAATATGTTTATATTGCACTGAATTACAATCATTATCAGTATTAGTAGTTGTCATTTTCACAACTGTTAATTGCAGAAAAAATGCATTGGATGTCTGTTCGGTAGGGCTGTGCAATTAATCGTATTTTAATCGTAATTACGATTTTGGCCTGCCACAATTACGAAAACAACATAATCGAAAAAAACTATTATTTAGCTTTGCGAGGTTGTGACATATTTGATCTAATTTAATTTAGTCTAATTTATTTGTATTTATCATATTTACATATGTTTAGTAGCTTGTTGAAGTGCGCTCCAAAATATTTGTTGATCTTGTTTATTGGTATTTATTATTTTGATATTATTTATTTAAATGTATCAATTATTTTTGTATTGGTTTTTCAGTTGAATTATACGTTCAGGGTAATCAACAGTTAAAAAGATACTGTTCAAATTATTATTTGTTTTAAAGTTCAATAAATGGATGTTTTCAAAGTCAATGAATAATTGTATTTAATAATCGTGATATCAATTATTGACCCAAATAATCGTGATTATGATTTTTGCCATAATCGCACAGCCCTACTGTTCGGTTTTGTCTAAAAAAACAACGACTGGCTCTTAGAAGTTCTTTCTTTTGTAAAAGCGAAGTACAAGCCTCTATAACCCCAGTGACCTGTCAGAGGAGAAAGTGAGCGCTGTGAGGAAACATTTCTGAAGACACATTTAAGTCCTTAATTCCTCAGCTGATCTCCTTTTGTAAAGCTGGGTCTCTGTGATGTGTCCGCCTGACGGGAACACAGCGGAGGGATTACACGGATCTCAGCAGCTAACTCTCTGTGAGCTCTGCAATAAAACATTCTGTCTGAAAGCATTTCATTCATGTTCTTTCTCAGCCTTACAAAGGTGACATGGATGGGAGGCAGAGCAGTGAGTCTGAGCTCATGTTTCTTCCTTTGTGGTTAATACAGAATGTGTTTGACTTCCTGCCAGAGTTTAGTTAAAAAGACCCAACAGCGCGAACAATTTCATGTATTTTTAAATGTGAATTCCCAGATCTGTGCCTCGACACAATCGACCTCATGGCTTGTGTTTTCTCTGCAGTGACTTGTTATCTGTGAGACTTTATAAAGGCTTCCCCAATCATGTCCAATCAGCTGAATTGACCACAGGTGGACTGAAAGGTGGTCAAGAGGAATGGGAGGCACCCGAGCTAAAATATCAACCGCCGTATCCAAGGGTCTGGATACTACATTTTTAGAAATCTCCAAAAATACGATATTCACTTGTAATAATAACAATAAAACAAAAATGATATTGGGATCATTAAAATATTAATAATAATAATATTTAAACATTAGAAATACATATAAATCCTACTTATTTCATCCATGTATACACGGAAGGGCATCATGAATATGTTGTGATGGAGGCATATACATACGTGATTTTAATTCTAATATATTTCCAAAAATCTTTATAAATGTCTCTTTCTGATATTGGGTGCATATTGATGAGGGAAACATTTGATTTAAACAGTTTGAGCACAAGACTGCAACATAACAACATGTGAACACGTCTGAAACGTTTTGATTGTACAATATAATCAATTATTGAGATTAATATTAAGAGCTAAGGGTCTGGTTAATTAAGTCAAAGGGATTTTCTCTTGAACTTCTAACAAATTAGCAAAAATCACTTAAAATCCACTTAGCCATTATTGAGATATTGTTTGCAGATTGATCACTTCCTTTCCTCCTGCAGGTGATAGCGATCGTGATGGACATGCTGACAGACGTGCAGATCCTTCAGGACCTGATGGACGCCGCCTCTCGTCGCTCTGTGCCCGTTTACATCCTGTTGGAGAACCAAGCCATGCCGCACTTCCTGGATATCTGCCACCGGCTGCAGATCGGAGCACAGCACCTCCGGGTGAGAGCACACCTTAACTTAAAGAGATTAAAGGTCACCTATTATGCAAAATCCACTTCTTCATGTCTCTGTGTAAAGAGACTCTCTCTTCACACAGAGGGGACACGTGTCTCTTCTACATCAACATGTGTCCCCTCTTCTTCATGTCTCTTCTACATCAACATGTGTCCCCTCTTCTTCATGTCTCTTCTACATCAACATGTGTCCCCTCTTCTCCATGTCTCTTCTTCATCAACATGTGTCCCCTCTTCTCCATGTCTCTTCTTCATCAACATGTGTCCCCTCTTCTTCATGTCTCTTCTACATCAACATGTGTCCCCTCTTCTTCATGTCTCTTCTTCATCAACATGTGTCCCTCTTCTCCATGTCTCTTCTACATCAACATGTGTCCCCTCTTCTTCATGTCTCTTCTTCATCAACATGTGTCCCCTCTTCTCCATGTCTCTTCTTCATCAACATGTGTCCCCTCTTCTTCATGTCTCTTCTACATCAACATGTGTCCCCTCTTCTTCATGTCTCTTCTTCATCAACATGTGTCCCCTCTTCTCCATGTCTCTTCTACATCAACATGTGTCCCCTCTTCTTCATGTCTCTTCTACATCAACATGTGTCCCCTCTTCTTCATGTCTCTTCTACATCAACATGTGTCCCCTCTTCTTCATGTCTCTTCTACATCAACATGTGTCCCCTCTTCTTCATGTCTCTTCTACATCAACATGTGTCCCCTCTTCTTCATGTCTCTTCTACATCAACATGTGTCCCCTCTTCTTCATGTCTCTTCTTCATCAACATGTGTCCCCTCTTCTTCATGTCTCTTCTACATCAGCATGTGTCCCCTCTTCTTCATGTCTCTTCTACATCAACATGTGTCCCCTCTTCTTCATGTCTCTTCTACATCAGCATGTGTCCCCTCTTCTTCATGTCTCTTCTACATCAACATGTGTCCCCTCTTCTTCATGTCTCTTCTACATCAACATGTGTCCCCTCTTCTTCATGTCTCTTCTACATCAACATGTGTCCCCTCTGTGGAAAGAGACTCTGAAAGTTTCAGGATTATGGGATGCTGCAATGATCTGTTTGGTGTTTCAGCCAATCAGAGACAGGCTCTGGATATATCTGAGACCTGCGATGGACTGATGAAAAACAGTATAATAGGGGACCTTTAATGTAGCACAGACAGCTGTAGGAGCCAAAATGCTAGCCTGTGTTTATAGTTATATTATCTTAAATATTTGTTAACACCACACACACTTGTAATGGGTTGTTTCTGGTAATGATCACATGGGTGTGGTTAATGGTATTTAGGGCACCTGGTGTTTGTCAGAGTCAGAATCAGAAACAGGTTTATCACCAGGTAGTTTGACACCTATGAGGAATTTGACTTGGTGTCATGGTGCATACATAAAAGTGAAACAAAAATTAAAAAAGATAGAGAACTATTTTAAGAACACTATAATTAAAACATTTTTAAAATAATTAAAAATATAGTAGAAAAATAAATTAAATAAAACAGTATTTACATTGAAATAGACTGGAATGAAATATTATATATATATAATATGTGGAAGTTTAGTAGCATGACAATGGGGGTGAGCTTAGCTCTGATATATTTTGTTGACCGTATGATTCTGTTTCTTTATTATTTTGCGTTACAATATTAAATATCTTTAAAACGTTGAGTTCAGTACAGACTTTTTTATTTATACGTGCCACATCAATGAGCGGAGTTTAGCCTCAGAGCGGCCGTATTCAATGGGAATATAGCCGCCACACTAACCCTAACGCACTTTAACATAAAGAGATGAACGTAACACAGACAGATAGCAAGGTAATGCTCCTGATACAACCCTAACCCTAAGCTGTGTGTCTGCAGAACATCAGAACCAGAACTCTTCAGGGCGTTGGATTCGGTTTGTCTTTCGGGAAAGTGCCCGGCGCCCTCTGTAATAAATACATGCTCATCGACGGGGACAAAGTGGCGTTTGGCTCCTACAGGTGAGGTCTGACTTCAAGACGTTATACAGCTCTTGTGTAAAGTGTCCCAGTAGTGTTAAGTATTCTGAATATGAAAGGGTTAATGTGCAGCGAGGCGGTCATGAAGAGAAACAGAACCACCAACAGGAGGTAATCGAGCCGGACGAGAAGCTGACATTACACCTGATTTATGTTTTCTGTAAATGTCCAAGTCTGTTCACATTTTATTTTCCATGTACCAGTCTTTAAACACTGCCAGAGTCCATACCTATCCTCCTTAGCAAAGGGTCTGTTCTCCTTAGCCATTAACAACCTCCGAAATGTCCAAATTGACCAATCACAATCAAGTATTCCACTGGATTCAAGATTCATGCAGCCATCATCACCGGCGCCATCCTTTTCTTCTAAGCAGTGTAATAATATGATGTACAGTTCACTCTAAATTCAACGTATGGATGAGTTCAAAGACTTTAGGCAAGGCAAGGTAAGGTAAGGCACGTTTATTTATAGTGCTTTACAAAAAGGAAAGACATTAAGAAACATATTATGAAATGGCATTTAAAAACACTCATTTAAAAGCAAAGATACATGAATTAAAGTGACAGTGCAGAGTGAGATACACACATCTGAAATGTTTAGTTCTGACTCTCAATCGTTGCTAACTTTTTAGCAGAAATGTTTTTCACTTTCTTTCTACTTTCTTTTTGAACTTATCCTTTAGTTATTTCGCCAAAACTATCCTTCTCTTTTAATTGCACATTAGTTAAAGGGGACCTATCATGCTAAATGCACTTGTGTACGTCTTTTATACATGAATATGTGTCCCCGGTGTTCCAGGGAACTCACCAAGTGTCAGAAAACACAACCCTCTCTATTTTCCTCCATACCCAAATCTCTAAAAAAGGGGCTGCAACGGATCTGATAAAAACTGATCCAGATTTGAACACTGTCCTGACGTCAGGACGGTGGCGCTACGGCTATTGGGCCAACTCCACCAATCAGGAGACAGCCACGGCCATTGCCGTTCGAAAGCGCTGGAGACGCTGTAGTACATATGCCAGGCCTGTAGGTGGTGCTGTTCTCACTGAATCTGCCCAGAGCTAGAAATGGTCAAATTGAGCAAAATGAGGCATGGCTAAAATGCATGATCTGTTTGGTATTTTGAAAAAAAAAAGTATAAATATGTCTTATATAGGTATGGTCCTACACTAGATTATTCAAATATAGCATGATAGGTCCACCTTAAGTTTACCTTGTCTTTCTAGGACTTTACCTGATAACTGTTGTACCCTCCGTCTCTGTCTCAGTTTCTCGTGGTGTACGTCTCGTATCGACCGGAACATGATCACGGTGATGACGGGGCAGGTGGTGGACTCCTTCGATCAGGATTTCCGAGAGCTTTACGCCGTCTCCGAGAAGCTGGATCTCTACAAGGAGTTCCACGTTACCAAACCTGCTATCAACGCCACCCTACGCTCCAAAGTGGTTCCCAAACGCCCGCCTCTACCAGCGACAACCTCCCGATTCCAGGTCAGTATAGGGGACTCGCGCAATGCTACAATCAAGGTTCCTGCACACAAGTACTACAACCCCAAATACGCACTGGCGTTCGGGGAAATCAATCGTCCAACAGGGTCTCTACAAGAACCAGGACCCAAGAGAGGGTTAGCTCTGCCGGATGATCTTGATGAGATGGGAGTTGGAAGACCACGAGTGACCAGCAGCGAGAGGATGGACCGTCTGAGTCCCCTGCCCTCTGAGGATCCTGGAGACAGCTTCAAGAGGACAAACGGACTCCAGCAGCAGGACAAGAAGGGGTGGGGCGGGTGGAAGTCGAAGTTCTTCAGGAGGAAATTGTCCAATAGGGATATTTTGGATACCATCAGCACCGAACCCTCAGAGAGCAACAGGACGGACGAGAACGAGGACGACTTCGAGGTGACCGTGAAGTCTCCGTCCAAGAGGAGGCTGCCTAAACTGGGCCTGAGGACAAACTCCAGGCAGTCCGTCAACACCGCACAGGACAACGAGAGTAAGTCAGGAATAGTAGTAGATAAAGTTTGAATCCAGAATGAACAAATAACCTTATCCAGTGGTTCCCAACTACAACCACAGCAGTATAATCCGTCTTTTTACGGGTTTATTAGACTCGAACTAAAGAGTTCTCATGAACTAAGTTCTCATGAACCTTTAGCCGCGTTCACACCGGAGTACTTTTCCCCGTACTTTTCGCGTTTAGTTCCATTAGTACCCCTTATGTCGCGTTCACACCAAAAAGAGTACTTCAAGCCGAGAACTTTTACCCCCATTTTTAGTGCCTGCTGAGAGATGGTACTTTCCTGGGGGAAAAAAGTGCCCCAGTTCTGGTTGGCTGGGCGAATTGCAAACCACGCCCCGTACAACTTTGAAATGTTTTGTAGAGCCGCCATTTTATTATCCTCGCATTATTAGCATTAGCATTCGCTCAGCACACAAACGCAGAGAGACTAACTTATGGCAACACAAAATAAAACATGGGAGCGGTGGAGATGAGGAGGTGTCGGCGTTCTGGCGATTTACTCGGAAGGCTTCAGTCGAAGCTGCTGGGAGTCCCAGCAGCTTCGACTGAAGCCAGTCCCCAACTCCGGGGACTTCCGGCCGGGGACTTCGGGTGGCAGTATACGCCGTGAAGTTGTTTGCGGCCTGCCAGTAAACCCAAAGCAGAAGAAGAAGAAGTGACGTCAGCGGCTCATTTGCCTAATCCTCCCTCAGGGACTTATGAACGCGATCTGTACTTAGTTCATGAGAACTAAAGAGTTCTCATGAACCTTTCGTGGGAAAATGACTGCGGTGTGAATGCGCCTATTGTAACTAACTTAAAGGGGACATATTCTGCACATAAACCTATATAACACTACAGGAAATAGAAAACCCCAAATAGGGCCTCTTTAAGTAAAAGTCTTAAAGAGCGTTTTCCACCTCTAGTCACAGGAAGCCTTATCTTAGTTTGAAGTGTAATACACCCAAAGATTTGTCCTTATGTTATACAAAATAAACCCACCTAGTCTAGTCTAGTATTTTATAGTAACTGATTGATTCTACATGCTCATACCTCCTTTCTCTTTCTAACTATGCTTTTGTTCTTTGTTTTTATTCAGGTGTTAAGAGTGGAGGGAAAGGTTGTAAAATGTCCTGAGGAGAACCTGCTGCTGTCTGACCACAAAATGAACTACATCTTTTTGAAAAATGGATTACAAATTGACTTTTGTAACACTGACGTCACCTTAAACTGTGCAATACAAGTGCTTTATCCAGTGCCTTACAGAGAGACCATGAATGTACAGTTCTTAGTGCACTGACACATTTGGAGATGGTGCCAAATATATAAAATTGACTCCAAAATCAATATGCTCGAGGTTATCTGTAACCCTGATGGTGTGCAGAGAGGTTCAAGCCGATTTTAGCCTGTGATTGATTGCTCTGTATGTTGATATATGAATATAAGGTTTGTCTAAGGCTTATTGAATGTAAATTGAGCAATACTTGGGTTTTATTCCTGCCAACAGAACGTTTTTTATAAGGTTAAACATTAATACACCTCCTCAAACTTCCAAAGGTGACCTACAGCGGAGTCCTGAGCAAGGATTGAAATGGGTAAAACCCTCATTGAGAAATCTGAAATAGGAGACTTCTCAGGCTTTGATTTATTTCTCCTTTTGACTAATCTACTAAACCAATGTTTGAGATCTACCTGCATCAGCCCTGTTGTTATGGTCCATTGTGGGCTTTCGTATGTGTACAGTACTAAAATATATTGTTAGTAATATCTGTGAAATAATATTGTACAGTGTTTATTTCAATGTCCATTTGCTACACATTGTGTTTGTGCCCAATAAATGGTTTCTGATAATGAACAGCTTTTCATGGTTTATGTTAAAGAGTCCTCTCCTGCTGATGTTCAGGTGTATATCAGTATGTAGTGTCCCTACTTTAAAGAGTCCTCTCCTGCTGATGTTCAGGTGTATATCAGTATGTAGTGTCTCTACTTTAAAGAGTCCTCTCCTGCTGATGTTCAGGTGTATATCAGTATGTAGTGTCTCTACTTTAAAGAGTCCTCTCCTGCTGATGTTCAGGTGTATATCAGTATGTAGTGTCTCTACTTTAAAGAGTCCTCTCCTGCTGATGTTCAGGTGTATATCAGTATGTAGTGTCTCTACTTTAAAGAGTTCTCTCCTGCTGATGGTCAGGTGTATATCAGTATGTAGTGTCTCTACTTTAAAGAGTCCTCTCCTGCTGATGTTCAGGTGTATATCAGTATGTAGTGTCTCTACTTTAAAGAGTCCTCTCCTGCTGATGTTCAGGTGTATATCAGTATGTAGTGTCTCTACTTTAAAGAGTCCTCTCCTGCTGATGTTCAGGTATATATCAGTATGTAGTGTCTCTACTTTAAAGAGTCCTCTCCAGATGATGTTCAGGTGTATATCAGTATGTAGTGTCTCTACTTTAAAGAGTCCTCTCCTGCTGATGTTCAGGTGTATATCAGTATGTAGTGTCTCTACTTTAAAGAGTCCTCTCCAGATGATGTTCAGGTGTATATCAGTATTTAGTGTCTCTACTTTAAAGAGTCCTCTCCTGCTGATGTTCAGGTGTATATCAGTATGTAGTGTCTCTACTTTAAAGAGTCCTCTCCTGCTGATGTTCAGGTGTATATCAGTATGTAGTGTCTCTACTTTAAAGAGTCCTCTCCTGCTGATGTTCAGGTATATATCAGTAAGTAGTGTCTCTACTTTAAAGAGTCCTCTCCAGATGATGTTCAGGTGTATATCAGTATGTAGTGTCTCTACTTTAAAGAGTCCTCTCCTGCTGATGTTCAGGTGTATATCAGTATGTAGTGTCTCTACTTTAAAGAGTCCTCTCCAGATGATGTTCAGGTGTATATCAGTATTTAGTGTCTCTACTTTAAAGAGTCCTTTCCTGCTGATGTTCAGGTGTATATCAGTATGTAGTGTCTCTACTTTAAAGAGTCCTCTCCTGCTGATGTTCAGGTGTATATCAGTATGTAGTGTCTCTACTTTAAAGAGTCCTCTCCTGCTGATGTTCAGGTGTATATCAGTATGTAGTGTCTCTACTTTAAAGAGTCCTCTCCTGCTGATGTTCAGGTGTATATCAGTATGTAGTGTCTCTACTTTAAAGAGTCCTCTCCTGCTGATGTGCAGGTGTATATCAGTATGTAGTGTCTCTACTTTAAAGAGTCCTCTCCTGCTGATGTTCAGGTGTATATCAGTATGTAGTGTCTCTACTTTAAAGAGTCCTCTCCTGCTGATGTTCAGGTGTATATCAGTATGTAGTGTCTCTACTGTGACATGTCTCCATGCTTTAATGTTCAAAAAGCTCTTTATTTTACTTTTCTTTTACATTTCTGTGATGGAAATTCATTTTGATAGAAATTCTAACTGGTTTAGGCTTTTTTAAATCTGCATAATGTCATAGATGAACCATCACTGAGATGATGGCTCCACCTGGTGGTGAAAGACATCAATATCTACAGTAAGATGCAAAACTGATTGCAGTGCACAAAGCTAGCGCTAGCTGCCCCCCCGCTTCTCTTTTACCTCCGAGAGGAACCACCGGCCTGATGGGAACTCAGAGGTGAGGTGAGGGTGGGGGGGGGGGGGCTAGATGTGGTGCAACACTGAAACAGGAAGTCAGAGCTGCAGCAGGAAGAGGCGTTAACTCATATATAGACTGACACAAACATGGGAGGCATGCACATGTTATTTCCTGTTAGAATTGCTTCTTATTGTTTACGCCAAAACACAGACTTTAAACAAGGTCAGAAAAATGTATTTTATTTTAATACATTTAATTATATTTGCCAAACTGTCCTTACATTACTCAACTAAGACACACGTTTTAATACAATGAATTCACCTCACAACATATGATAGTTAGCCCTCAGTCACACACTGAGTTATTATAAGGATTTTTAACAGTTTTCATTGTTAGAAAACACATTGGAGACTAATTGTTGTATTTTTATGTTAAATATCTTAAGATTTCGGGAGAGGACTTAAAACTATGTAGGCTTCTTTTTTAGGTGAACAATTGAGGTTTTTCTGAGCCTATAATCTGTGACTTTAAATACAAAAAAAAGGAAGAAAATACTCATGGATTTTGAGTTTTTTCGGGTGTTTAAATGTCTAACTCAACACGGGGTGAAGGTACATTTTAGTTATGTGTTATGAGCATTGGGTTAGTTCTTGATAGGTAAACATATTACATTCATCACATCTCTTCAATACAACGTCCAGAACAAGGTGTTAAATAGGAATACTGTTTATGACAATTTAATACATTCAAAATCCCAGAGGAAGCTGATTATAACCTGTGCGATACTATTAGATGCTTTCTAGTCCTCTATATGTGATATTGCTCAGGGACAAAAAGGTGGTTTCACTCTTCATGAAAAACACATGCAACTGAGCACACACACAAACACACCATAATATGAGAAAGTAAGGTGTGGTCTGATGGTTTTAAGAGTCAGGAAACAGCTGTCACGCAAAAACAGGACCCAGTGTTGCATGTCAAAGAGCAACGGAATACTTTTTATTAAATAAATCATGATAAAAAAACAACAAATGCAATACTTATAACAGTGAGAACACAAAACAAGGTAAAGCTAAACGATTTATTTCATATAATTACAGTGTATGCATTGGAATGAAATAAAATCAGGACATAATGTATATTGCACTTATTGCACTGTGCTATAAAGGTAAGTCAAATATGACAGGCTTGGTCTGATTAGAACAAGTATTCTAAGTACAAACAAGTCCCTGAAATAGTACAACAGCGTCAAAATAATGATCTTAAAAATTGATCTGTATTTACAAAATGAAGCTTAAGCAATGATGACAGGAAGGGTAGCGTTAGGTTAAGCGCTAGAAAAAATGATCAACTGGACGCAAGTAACGCAGATTACTGTTACTTGTAAATGTCCATTTCTGAGTCTTATGAGAACTGTTCTGAATAATCTTCCCTTTTTATACTGCTCTGCTGGGACCACACATGCTTCATTTCTCTGCCCGAGATATATTGACTAACTCTCAACAGATATGAGTCAACGTGTTCACCTTTGACACCCTTCAGCTCAGTCTGTAAAAAGGGGAAGTGGAAAGAGAAGTCACTCTTTTAGCCTCCAGTGTTCTCGCTCAGTTGTGTTGCACCAACTTAAAGGGTGGTGGGGGCTGAATACCACTGTGTGTGGGGTGGGGATATTAAAGGAGAGGTGTCATGCTTTTCCGGTTATTACCCGTCCCCTTGTGTGTTATGAAGGTTTTTATGCATGTAAACGGTGTGCAGAGTCAAAACCCTCAAAGTACACCCTGTAGCGAGTAAAACTCTAACACAGAAAATACCTCCCCAAAACGCCTCGTTGGAGATACGTCACTGCCCATTTGATTCTTCCATTTCGTTCCGGGTACCGCCTGATGTCAAGCGGTACCCGGAACGAAATGGACCAATCCGTGGAGCCGTTACGTTAAGCCCCCGCTGATTGGTCCAAATTGACCGATCCACGGACTTCCTCACACACAGGCAGCTCTGCTGATTTCTCCTCCCTGGCTGCAGGCTGATAACAGACAGTTGGGATCGCGGCGAAATTCTCTCCGCAGACCCATTCTCTCTGCAGACCCATTCTCTCTGCAGACCCATTCTCTCTGCAGACCCATTCTCTCTGCAGACCCATTCTCTCTGCAGACCCATTCTCTCTGCAGACCCATTCTCTCCGCAGACCCATTCTCTCTGCAGACCCATTCTCTCTGCAGACCCATTCTCTCTGCAGACCCATTCTCTCTGCAGACCCATTCTCACAGCGTTTATCAACCTTTTTCTTACTCAATATCAAGCCACACTTATTGTTTTTACTTCGGATGTGACTTTGTGTGTGCTCAGGATGAGTTTGGCTGTGTTTCGCTATGTATCCTAAACAAGGAAACAACACCTCCACGGAGCTCAGCGCGATTCACAACGTCCCGACCAATCAGAGCACACAGTGCTCACAGGGAGGGTGGGGGCTGGAGCTATTGGAGCTACAACGAGCCGTTAAAGGCAGAGAGTGAAATTCAGTGAATACACGTAGTTTACAGAGATGCTGTTTGAGAAACCAATGTGAGTTTGGAGAGATGCACAATATAAATCTATTTTAGTAGACCTCAACAATGGAATTATGATCAGTGGAAATGGCCATGACACCTCTCCTTTAAAGTCCATGCAGGGGGGGGGGGGCGGGCGCTCAGTCCTGAGCAGCCTGGTTTATCACTTTCTTCTTACGGACTGAGACCAAGTCGTAGAACGGATCCTTGGTGATGCTCGCCCTGTTAGAAGTAGAGGAAGAGCGTCATTATTGAGACACCAATGCTGCAGTGTGTGTGTGTGTGTGTGTGTGTGTGTGTGTGTGTGTGTGTGTGTGTGTGTGTGTGTGTGTGTGTGTGTGTGTGTGTGTGTGGTGTGTGTGTGTGTGTGTGTGTGTGGTGTGTGTGTGTGTGTGTGTGTGTGTGTGTGTGTGTGTGTGTGTGTGTGTGTGTGTGTGTGTGTGTGACCGACCTGATGGCCTCGATCCAGGAGTCCCTCTCCTCTGCGCTGGCGGCACAGATGGTGTACGATTGGTGCTTCCCCACCACCACTCGGCCGTCCGTCTCTGTTTTGCACGCCTTGATCTTCTGCCCTCGACTGTTGGGGTTGTACAGCTCCAGACAGTACTAGACGACACCAGAAAACCAAGCAACAATCAATCTATAAATCTGAATGCTCTTTACGTAACTTGATGGACACCCCTAGTTCAATATCGTGTTGGAGAGAAAACCACCGTTGACAGTATATCTTACCGGTTTGCGAGGATACGGCACTTCCCTTACACAAAGGTTCTCCAGAGGGATGATGCCTCTGGGCTCTTTATCCTGCAGACAGATAAAAAAAAGATGGAGTGAGTCAAGTGCATCTATCAGGAGGGCAAGAAGGAAGAGTAAAAATGGAATTGGCGTCACAAAAGGAGGGGAAGCAGAAGAGACTGAAATAGCAATAATAATTTATAATTAATAATAATAATCTCCACCACTTTATGATTTTTTAAGTAAAAAGCTAACATTAGGCTATAAAGGAACTACAGCACGGTTACATGACTTCACGTCCCCACCTCTAAGCTAAGGGAGGCTAATGTTGGGCTATAAAGGAACTACAGCACGGTTACATGACTTCACGTCACCACCTCTAAGCTAAGGGAGGCTAATGTTGGGCTATAAAGGAACTACAGCACGGTTACATGACTTCACGTCACCACCGCTAAGCTAAGGGAGGCTAATGTTGGGCTATAAAGGAACTACAGCACGGTCACATGACTTCAAGTCACCACCGCTAAGCTAAGGGAGGCTAATGTTGGGCTATAAAGGAACTACGGCACGGTCACATGACTTCACGTCACCACTGCTAAGCTAACGGAGGCTAATGTTGGGCTATAAAAGGAACTACAGCACGGTCACATGACTTCAAGTCACCACCGCTAAGCTAACGGAGGCTAACGTTGGGCGTGATGACATTTAGTCGTCTCATTTAGAGACTTGTAAGCAACGTTAAAATCTTTTGTGTTAACCACTGATATTTTTTCAGGATAATAACCAAAAACACATTAAAAAAACCCTTGACTTCCAGATGAGGGGACAGGAAGTGCTAACATACTGACTCATTTTCGGGTTTGGGACTCAATCCTGCTTCACAGTAGAATAGGTGAATGGTAAAAGAAATGAAAAGCGCTGAAAGATGTTCAGATTCTGTGTGAAGGTGCCTTAAAAGGAGCATTGTGAGAGCCTTACAGTGGTGAACTCAAAGTAGTAGAAACAGTTGTCTGTCAGGATGAACCATCGCCTCTTCCACGTCTTTACCCGACCTCCTGAAATATAGAGAAAGCACAACATGAAGATCTGTATGTGCACTAAATGCTCTGTTGTCAGTTTGGTTCCTGGACATTAAAACTAACTTTTGAGGTGATGTGTTTGAAGACAAGCTTCTGCATAACCTAACTCTGAAAGTATGTGGTTTGCATGCAGAGACGTAAAGGTATACTCCGTTATTGGGTAACTTTCTGATCGCTTCCTCTGTACTTTCCTGTTCTTAGCCTCATTACGCTGAGTTAATTACAAGGCAGAGCACATTCAAACCGCTTCTCAATTGGGTTAGACACTTTACTTAAGCATCCCAAATGAATAACAATAATTCATTTAAACTGATTATTTTGGAGAGGTGCCTTACCGAGTTTAAGGAGCCAGCCTTCTCTGTCAGGGTTGAAGAAGGTGTGAGTCAGATCATTCCCATCATCCTCTGGGATTTTGAAAGGCTCGTTGCGAATGCTCTCGTACAGTTTCTGAGTGGAAAGAAAGGAGTTGAATAGGTTAATGTGCTATCATTCAATGTCTTGTTCCATTTCTACCATAAATTGTTAGCTTGACATCAATCAGAAGAACCAATCATTTAATGCAAAAATGGGGAAACAAATTGTTAGATAAATGAAATGTCTGCGTGAGACTGTGGTGATGAGAGGCACTGAGTCATCTCTTTGTGATTGTTGGAATTTGACTTGGTGTCAAAGTTCTGTACATAGAAGTTAAACAAAAATAAAAAAACACAGATTTTAAGAAAACAAAAATAACATTACAAAAAATAAGAAAAAATATAGTAAAATAGAAAATAAAATAAAGCAGTATTTACATTGAAATAGAATGCAATAAAATAGAAAATATGTGCAGTAAGCAAACCAGATATTGTCCACATTGTGTGCATTAATGTAATAGAGTCTCTTAAGTTAGCACTTCGGCAGTGGTTCAGTAGGGACTTGGACTTCGGACTGATTCGCGTCCCGATCAGAAAAGAAATGTGGACTGGTCCTGGATAGGAGCATGCGTATATAACTGTGTGTACTGTAACAAATGACATGTGTGCACAAATATAACCGTGTATATTTGCATGTATAACAATAAAATGCATTTCCATGTATACAAAAACAGAGTGGAAAACTGATTTCAATCAATAAAGATCCATCTTCTCCTTCTTTAGTCTCACACCTGCCTCAGAGACTGATAACAACCTGTAAGGAGTTTCTGTTCCAGACGATGTGGTCATTGTGACACGGTGGAACTATTTATTTTAAAGCAGAGAAAGTACCACAAGATTTCTAATAGTTGTACATCGACTACTTTTGTATTTGCTTTCGATTTCGTATAAACCATTCTACAAGAGGAAGAGATCCTTTAATGGCCAATATATTAAAGCAAGAGAAACCAACATTCACGAGGGGATTGACAGAAACCATGATATTTATTCATTCAATATTGATATCATGTAAGAGACGAAACGCATATTAAACAATTAAAGATGAATTTGACCCATCATTTTTTTCTTCAAATTGGTATGGATTTGGTGACATTGTTATGTTGAGTTATTATGGCCACAATAATTGGTTATAAAAATCAGATTTTGTGACAGCCTTAATGTGGAAATGTGTTTTGTTTGTGACAATTTTTCACTGGATTTCGAGGCATAGCAATCTTGATTTATTCAGCCCATGATAATCGGTAATAAGTTGACCTTATATCAGAGGTGGGAAGTAACTAAGTACATTTACTCAAGTACTGTACTTAAGTACACTTTTGTGATACTTGTACTTTATTTGAGTATTTCCAGTTGATGCTACTTCTCCTCCACTACAGTTCAGAGGTAAATTATGTACTTTTCCTCCACTACATGTATTTAATACCTTTAGTTACTTTACAGATGTGGATGAATGATGTGAAATCTAATCAAGTGTTAAATCAGACTTTAGTTCCACCTGGAGTAAATCCACAAGCTACCCTGCAGTATACAAAGTCATTCAAACTAGCTGCACCTTTACCAGCTTTGAGAACACTTTCATGATCAATCATTATAAAACATATCATATATATTATTCTGAAATGGACCAATCTGCACAAAGACTACTTTTACTGTCACTACTTTCACTATATTTTGATGAGAATACTTTTCTACTTTTACTTGAGGAACATTTTGAATGCAGGACTTTTACTGAAACAGAGTATTCATACACTCTGGTACTTCTACTTTTACTCAAGTACAAGATCTGAGTACTTCTACTTTTACTCAAGTACAAGATCTGAGTACTTCTACTTTTACTCAAGTACAAGATCTGAGTACTTCGACTTTTACTCAAGTACAAGATCTGAGTACTTCTACTTTTACTCAAGTACAATATCTGAGTACTTCTACTTTTACTCAGTACAAGATCTGAGTACTTCTACTTTTACTCAAACTTCTCCCACCTCTGCCTTATATTATGTATTGTCATGGGTTGGAATAAACATATTTCCAAAGGATGACAAATGGATGGCCAATTTTCTTTTTTGACATTGTGAGTGTTTCTCACCGCGAGCAGGTCATTGGGTAGATCCCCCCCGTTGTTGATGCCTCTGTTCATGGAGATGAAGCGCTCCAGGGGGGTCTTTTCCTTCACGCTGGGGTTGTGGAGGCTTGTGTTGAGCATGATGATGGCAAAGGACAGGATGTAGCATGTGTCTAGGGTTATGGAAAAAGGATGCAAATAGGTAAGAGACAGCAACAAAATGTTAATCGCATAGATTATACAGGTTTATATATAAACAGGTTTTGTCTCTCAATTTGCGTGTCTACATGCTGTTTTGAATGCATACGTGTGCAAAGTATGGCAAAATGTATAATGAGTACCTGGATTGTTATACACAAGTAACATACAGGTACGTGTGTTTCTTTTCTGGTATTTAATTAATTTACAACTATACTGGTGCCAACAAGAAGCCTCCTTTAATTGTTGTCGGGTTAAAGGAGCAGTCTGTTATGAGACTACAGGGTCCAACTTCCCATACTAAGCAAGTGCAGAGATGGCAAAAGTACACACATCCTTTACTCAAGTAGAAGTACAGATACTCGTATGGGCTTCGAAATGTACTTAAGTAAAAGGTACCCATAACTACCAACTGTGTTATAGAGTAACTGGTAACTTGACCTCACTTTATATTAATAGAACATTAAGGATCTTCTTTTTCGTATTGTAATAATGTCATTGTTAGCTAATGAATGTTTCCATGCTGAACAACGGCAACATGACAATGTTTTCATTGGTCCCTCTTCTTTAGAGAAGACCAGGAAATGATGGATACACGGATCGTGTTCAAATCAATAGGCACGCAATGACTCTAAATAATAATGATCACGCCACCAAACACACATTCAAACTAAAGGAACCAGCCTGTTTGGGAAATGTGAGAAGTAGAAAGTACAGGTATTTGTGTTCAACATGTAAGAAGTAGAAAGTACAGGTATTTGGGTTCAACATGTAAGAAGTAGAAAGTACAGGTATTTGGGTTCAACATGTAAGAAGTAGAAAGTACAGGTATTTGTGTTCAACATGTAAGAAGTAGAAAGTACAGGTATTTGGGTTCAACATGTAAGAAGTAGAAAGTACAGGTATTTGTGTTCAACATGTAAGAAGTAGAAAGTACAGGTATTTGTGTTCAACATGTAAGAAGTAGAAAGTACAGGTATTTGTGTTCAACATGTAAGAAGTAGAAAGTACAGGTATTTGGGTTCAACATGTAAGAAGTAGAAAGTACAGGTATTTGTGTTCAACATGTAAGAAGTAGAAAGTACAGGTATTTGTGTTCAAAATGTAAGAAGTAGAAAGTACAGGTATTTGGGTTCAAAATGTGAGAAGTAGAAAGTACAGGTATTTGTGTTCAACATGTAAGAAGTAGAAAGTACAGGTATTTGTGTTCAACATGTAAGAAGTAGAAAGTACAGGTATTTGTGTTCAACATGTAAGAAGTAGAAAGTACAGGTATTTGGGTTTAACATGTAAGAAGTAGAAAGTACAGGTATTTGTGTTCAACATGTAAGAAGTAGAAAGTACAGTACAGGTATTTGTGTTCAACATGTAAGAAGTAGAAAGTACAGGTATTTGTGTTCAACATGTAAGAAGTAGAAAGTACAGGTATTTGGGTTCAACATGTAAGAAGTAGAAAGTACAGGTATTTGGGTTCAAAATGTAAGAAGTAGAAAGTACAGGTATTTGTGTTCAACATGTAAGAAGTAGAAAGTACAGGTATTTGGGTTCAACATGTAACAAGTAGAAAGTACAGGTATTTGTGTTCTAAATGTAAGAAGTCAAAGTAAAAAGTCGTCAGAAAAATAAGTAGTGGAGTAAAGTACTGATACAAAAAAATGTATTTAAGTACAGTAACGAAGTATTTGTACTCCACTACTTCCCACCTCTGAGCAAGAGTTCACAGTGTATGACCTGTCTGTGTACAAAGGGAAGTGTCCAATCTTAGACACAGCAATGTAGTTCACATAAATACAGAGTGAGTTAAGGTAAAGAAAAAGAGGAAATGAAAGGCAAACATTAAGGTGGTCATTTTAACACATCCTCCCCCCCACACACACACACACTCACACACACACACACACACACACACACACACACACACACACACACACACACACACACACACACACTCACACACACACACACACACACACACACACACACACTCACACACACACACACACACACACACACACACACACACACACACACACACACACACACACACACACACACACACACACACACACACACACACACACACACACACACACACACACACACAGGAAGTGGACAGATGTGTATTTAGTGACGCTCACCTGTGGACTGGAAGACCTGAATGTTGCAGTCGCAGTAGCGCGTAGCGAAGGCCTCCATCATACGGTCGATCTTCTGGGCTTCACCAGGCAGACGGAAACTCCACAGGAACTGTCTGTCACATACACACACCACCATAACATTAACCTCTGTATGAAACATGTGTTCATCAGCTGCATGACCAGCATGTGAACTTCACCACGCATCTGGAGAAAGTGTGTTGGAAGCCCAGTTTCCAAAGCACAACACTGGTGTGACTTTATGTGACATTTACTCAGCATACAAACACACAGGGTGGTCTCTATGTGGGATTTTAGTTCATTCATTTGTCATATTGTCCCTCTCCTCCCTATCTTGACAGTCATTTAATTCAACCAAATGTCTTAGTGATTGTACACTTACACTTTCGACATAACCTATATTCAAGATTCAAGGCTTCTATTGTCATTTGTACATACTGTAGCTACAGTGTACAAATGACAATGAAAATCTTAGGTCACAGTGCAACACAATACAACTGATAAAATAGTGCAAGTAAATACAAATACAATAGAATAGAATATATTAACTTTAACCTAAGAAAAGGTTCATGCTCCCTCCATCAAGTTCACTACATTTACTTGAGAACTAGAGATATTTCAAGCATTAATGATAATAAAGGTCAACATCTAGCTATGTTAGCGCTAAGGGTTAGACTGTTTAGCATTTCTTTCAAACACAACAAATCCATATTATCTCTTTTGGTTTCAGCACTTGGAAATTTGGGGTAGTAAGTATTTCACGAGGTCAAACATACCTAGAACATTTCTTAAGCTTGTGTTTACCACACAACTTATTTCAGGCATCATCCAAAAACCCATAAACCTTGAGAAAAGGGAAGCGGAAGTGCAAGCCTTAACCCTAAACCTAAATATGTCAAACGACTGCTTTCCCAGGCTGTGAAGTCCTCCCCATTACAAGCACATTTATTTGGAAAAATAGTCTTAGAGAGACCAATTATTTGCATGCAGGACCTTTAACTTGAAGGTCTTTTTACCTCACATCTATCATTATTATCTTAATAGTAGATCGGATCTTTCTTCCGTTATACCATCACACTCAATGATGTTAGTCAATTACCTATGACGTTCCTCTGATGTGACTCATATTTCTGTCAGCAGTAAACTCACTGGCACGTGTTCTTTGGTGATTAGTTTGATCAGTGTTAGATATTAGGACTTTAGCTCTTAATAACTTCATAAATCTGAAGTCGATGCAGCCAAGTTTGTTGGACCTTGGCAAAACCCCTAACCCCAGATCAAGCTCTAACTAAAAAACCTTGACCACAATCTTCAAAAGTGTGACGCAGTTTTAGAAAGGGACCCAACGTTAGTGTGCTTTGTAAACTCTAAGCATTGGAAATGACTAATCAGTTCCAATGTCATGCACAAACACTTGAAAGTAAAGCATCCAAGAACACGCCCATGACAGAAACAGATCTATTTACTATTTGTTAAACAACACTGGTACAAATGTTAGTTTGAAAGAAAATACACTTCACTGATTATGTGAAGAACGTTTTCATTTTGTTTGTGAAATTATGAGTTTACAGCAGCAAAGAGTGCCATGAAACAAAAGTCAAATTATACCATGTCACAGAAAATATCAGCAACACCATGAGATGGATATTCACTATATCTAAAAATATGTACAATAAAAGCATTACTGTTCAAACAAACTTGGCATAATTGTCGAGAATTGTAAAAATGTACAATTTCTGCAATTTCTAAATATGTTGCTTATTAATTGCTACACCATTTCCAGTCAAACCAAAGTGATTACTGATTTTAGGAGCGTTGTGACTCTCTATGTAAGTACACAGTATGTGCATATAGCCATCTACCTTGACTTAATTCATTGTATGTTTAGATATGTTTTATGTGATGGTGTTGATGAGTGAATGGACTGACTGTGGTGTGTTTCAGATGGGTTACAGTAGATGAGACAAGAGTGAAGGTAAACAAAGCTGACCTGAGGGCCTGCACCAGATTGAGGTCGGAGAATTCGTGCAGCTCCACAAAGGCCTTGAGGGTCTGGAGGTGGAGCTCCTCCCTGTGGGACAGGTGGGGGGAGGAAAGCACATTAAACGAGAGGAAGGTATTCACTTTATCTCTTAGAACATGCTCTCAAATCTCTTACTCCATCTGCCGTAGAGTGGCACAGGAATGAGTCGTAACACACAATAATGAGTCAGCATTTTAGCACTTCTGGTACCTGCGTCTGGAAGTCAATGGTTTTCTGAAAGTGGTTTTGGTTGTAAGTCAGTTACGACATAAAATACGTCAGTAAGGCCGTTCCTTACAAATCTAGACAACTAAACGTCATCACACCCAACGTTAGCCACCTTTAGCTTAGCAGTGGTGACGTGAAGTTCTGTGACCGTGCTGTAGTTCCTTTATAGCCCAACATTAGCCACCTTTAGCTTAGCAGTGGTGACGTGAAGTCATGTGACCATGCTGTAGTTCCTTTATAGCCCAACGTTAGCCACCTTTAGCTTAGCAGTGGTGACGTGAAGTCATGTGACCATGCTGTAGTTCCTTTATAGCCCAACATTAGCCTCCTTTAGCTTAGCGGTGGTGACGTGAAGTCATGTGACCGTGCTGTAGTTCCTTTATAGCCCAACGTTAGCCACCTTTAGCTTAGCAGTGGTGACGTGAAGTCATGTGACCATGCTGTAGTTCCTTTATAGCCCAACATTAGCCTCCTTTAGCTTAGCGGTGGTGACGTGAAGTCATGTGACCCAACCCAATCTCACGTCATTTTGTGTTATAGTCACGAAATTAATTTAATCTATTGATTCGTGTTCACCAACACGATTTTCGCATTTTTTTCGTGTCACACAGAACGATTTTAAATGCAATGTATTTCTATTGGTAGTATGTTTCGTGCCTGCAACACGTCTTTTTGTCCGGTCGGGTCTTGGAAGACCAGAAGCTGTGTGGTTCATAAAAACATGTTCTTACTCAATATCTTACCCTAAGCCTAACCCTATCCCTTTTATTTTAAATTGTATAATGTCTGAGTTTTTTTGCCGTCAGTGAGGAAAAGAAATGTCTCAGAGCCTCAGAATACTGACATCTGTATTTTATGTCATCTTTTTTTCCTTCTTGTTATTATTTGGTGCAGGCACGAAACATACTACCAATATAAATACATTGCTTCTAAAATCGTTCTGTGTCAGAATACTTAAATCTGTATTTTTTCAAATCTGTTTTTCCTTTTAATTTGTTATATTTACATTGCTTTTAAAATCGTTCTGTGTGACACGAAAAAAATGGGAAAATCGTATTGGTGAACACGAATCAATAGATTAATTTTGTGACTATAACACGAAATGCCGTGAGACTGTGTTGTGTGACCGTGCTGTAGTTCCTTTATAGCCCAACATTAGCCTCCTTTAGCTTAGCGGTGGTGAGGTGAAGTCATGTGACCATGCTGTAGTTCCTTTATAGCCTAATGTTAGCTTTTCAGTTACAGTTTTTTTTAAATGGTGTTAACATTAACATCTGTTTGCCACAGATATTCTTTTTAGCAATTTTCGATAAACCAATGGCAAAATCCCATCAGCTTTTTGTGGAGAACACCAGGGAGATGCTTACTTCCAGGTCGGCCTACAAAAGAAAATGCATCCATGCACCACTTTATAACTTGTATTCCCTTTTCCTCCCCTTTACTTTCCCTTCTTCCTTCCCATGGCTGCTTTTCATTCCTCCACCTTTCTTAATTTTTTAATTAACATGACATTTCCCTTCTTCCCCTCATTACCCTCCTCCTCCTGCTTCTCCTTTATCTATATTTTTAAGTTCTTGCTCGTCTTTGCCATTGGCCATTTTATCCTCATTCCCCGCCTCTTGCTTACCTTTCTCCAAGGAATTCTCCAATGGCTGTCTTGTTGAGACCCTCCTCCTTGTAGAGGAACTCAGCGAAGGATTGAGCACCATGTTCCAACAGCTTGTTCTCCACCAGGTAATTGATGCCCTGCACACAAACACAATTGTTTATACGTACTGTTTACGATATATTTCATGGCTAAATGTTCAAAGGTAAGTAGCATTTAAGGTTTATTATAAGGTTCAAATCGAGGAGGGTTCAGGTAGGCTCTCTATCAGTAGGACCACAAAATAGTTTTCTATAATGCAAATGCAATTTCAATGAAATCGCCCTTTGGATACAATGGATAAGTGGAAATGATGTCAAGTTTGAAACGTTTTCGAAAATCAACATACAGTATTTTCAATGGGGGACTTTTTGTCTGGCCCCGGCTTCAAAACACACACACACACACACACACACACACACACACACACACACACACACACACACACACACACACACACACACACACACACACACACACACACACACACACACACACACACACACACACACACACAGCCCGCTGTGGTGAAATGTGCTTAGTTTCATAATGAGCTCATCACCGGTTTGTATGAGCGAGCAGCTATAAAGGGTGAAGCATCTGTAATTCCAATTCCCTAAAATCAATTTCTCTTCCTCTTTATCTTCAAACGCACGGTTTGGAGAAGAAACTAAATTATAAATAATATATTTGCTATGGAAATAAGTAAAAAAAAGCAAACTCTACAAACTTGCATTGTTGTGGCAGGAACAGATGGGCTAATCTGCTATAAAAAGTTGTCTAAATACCAGAATTTCTCTGTAATGACCTTTCTCTCATGGTAGATGAAGGGTTAGGGTTAGGTTATGACACTTTCTTATTAGTCATGCTTGGTTTTTATTCTTGTGAATAGAGTTCAATAGAGTTAAAGTTGTATGATGAAAACTCGAAGAGCATATCGGACAACTGCGACCTGTCAATCATAAGGTAGCCCCGCCCCAAAAGCATACCCTGCTTTTATCGTCTATTTTATTTAAAAGGAACCGTAATTTACTAATTGAACATCATGCTGTGTTGAAGAACATTTGAGACCATTAACTCATCAGGAAAATGTTTACTAGGGGAGTAAATCAAGTTATACGTAAACTAATTTTCTCATAGACTTCTATCCAATCAAACTCTTTTATGCAATTGATGGAGTCGATATATATCCGATATTAGAGGGAGTGCAGGTTTAAGGTATTCCGCATTTTCCTTCATTTTTCAGGGGTAAGAAAGAGTGTGTTTCCTCAAAATTCATATTATACTCAATAGAACATAATATGGTTGACATGGCATTGCATTAACTGTGTATTTGTTGATGCAAACACAACAAGCTTGACGTGCCACTAAAACCACAGAAACTCTGCTTCAGCGTCAGTCCGTCTTGCAGCATCTCGGCTGTGGTTAACTGAGCGGAAGTCCACGAAGCAACGAGCTGTTTACTGGAGGTGTTTAGATGAGATGGCTCACACACACACACACACACACACACACACACACACACACACACACACACACACACACACACACACACACACACACACACACACACACACACACACACACACACACACACACACATACCCACCGTGACCTTTTTAAAGATTAAGTCATTTCTAACCAGGCCGTATGCTAATCAAGATATTTTAGCTTTAACAGACACATGCAAACTCTTCTGAACTCACCTTTTTGGGGTCCATGTTGAATTTTTTCTTTCCATTTGAGAACTGTTTGCTCTTCTCCATGGTCTTGCTGCACGAAAAAATAAACGTATAATTGTAGTTAAATAATGATAAACTTTTTTTTTTACTTAGATGCTGTCAGACACTTCAGCAACAGATTTGTCCTTAGAACTGTTTTATAATAAAGAGATAAACCCTAACTATAATTTAATTATAACCTCTATTGCGTTTTTCTTCAAAAGCCATGCTAATTATTTAGGCCTGTTTGGTTTAAACTTTCTTTTCCAAAACTATGAACCACTATACTGTGTCATTGAGGGTTTATTATATCTATCTTTAAAAAATGGCAATAATATATAGAGATTTTTTTCCCCCCATACTCAAGCGCTAGGACTCATGGGAGATGTAGTTTTTGGATCCCAACCAAATTAAAACTGTTCGATATTTTCCCAAAATGAAGTTGAGGTGCTCAAATGTAAAAAGTCAAAGAAGTCATTTAGCTCCAAGAATAAATATATGAGCTCATTCTCATATTTATTTAGTTAGTATACTGTCCAGCAAACATGAAGCTACTGCTAATAGCCATTTAGCTTAGCTTAGCTTAGCATTTATAGACTGTAAACCAAGGCAAACAGCTAGCCTGGCTCAGTGGCAAAAAAAACTATATCCAACAAATGAACTTGCTATATCTTGTTTGTTTAATCTGCAGTCAAATGTAAATGTTATCGGGTTATGTGTTTGACTTTATTTAGTTTTGCAACAGGATGTTCAGTCACAACATTAGACTTTAGACAATAAGGAAAAATACTGAAAAATTCTTAATCTTAAATCAACTGAAGACCTGTCGCTGGCTCATTTCCTTTCCATGTCAAGGGTTAAAAATATATCTGTTAGATGAATATGTCAAAATCAGCAATGAAAAAGAGTTTGCTGTCTTCTTCTCATGAAAGCCTGGCACTGATTGCGCGAAAAGTGCTCGATAGAGACTTCAACTGGATCTGTTATTTATGAACGGGGATCCCAGCTTCAACTGAAGTCAGAAAGGTGGGCAGAAACAACCACACAGAGGTGTGTACAATGGTTACAAAGAAATGGAAACATGAGTGACATTGGAAAGCTAAGTAGGAGTGTTAAGTGGACGTTCTATAAAAAGACAGACTGGTTAGTGAGGGAGGTGGGGGGGGTTTCCCAAAGTTAAACTCACTTTTCATCTCCAGACTCAAAGCTGAGTATACCTGCCATGATGTTGTCTATCTCCATCTTTAACTTCTGGAAATATAAAAGAAAAGCCTTTTGAATTCCTTCAAATTTAAACTCACAATCAAAGATAATTATAAAAGAAAACAGCAATTTATTTTGATGGGAAATACATTTTCTGATATCTGAAAGAGTGTACCTGAATATCATCCAGAAGATCTTCCTTATACGTCTTAATGGTCTCAATCTCCATCTTCTCTTCTGCTGTAAAATCTGAGGAAACTACCAAGACAGGAAGAAATACGTCAAATACATTCTCAGGAACTCAGATTATTAATCAGCACAATTTCATCACATTGAAATACGTAAAATAATGACAACATCTATTTGAATCGAACATTAGACTATTGTAGGGTACTTTAAGATATCAACAGATACATCACATAGATAAAGAGACAATACAGTTTGAGTGACCATATGTCTTTTGGTGTGAAAGCACTTACACAGAAACACGGTATGGTATATTTAGATATAACCAAAGCAGAAGGCAGAGAGCTTTATCTGGAAGAGTCTGAATGGTTTTTCTCATGAAAGACATTCGTCACCACAAAATATAACCATGAATACAATCCATATTACAAGATACATATCCAGAAACAGCCAGGGAGGACCTATTTGTCATATTTCCTTTCTGTCAGTATCAATTTCTCCCTGTTCCTAAATTAAAATGACACATGTAGGGTTTTGGTCATCAATCCAAAGAGGTCATTGTATCAAAGGAGTTTCTGTGTTGGTGAAATAGAGTAACCTCAGCCAAATGATTGTAATAGTGTTCGTTACTTTAACACTCAACATACTACATTGCTGGGTGACATTTTCCAGGTAATCTATTGATAAGGTAAGATTTAAAGGAACAAGAGTGTGAGTTTAAAGTCACACTAGCTGAGTTTCTCTCCAACACACAGTACAATAAAGAGCTTTTTGAACATTAAAGCATGGAGACATGTCACAGTAGAGACACTACATACTGATATACACCTGAACATCAGCAGGAGAGGACTCTTTAAAGTAGAGACACTTCATACTGATATACACCTGGACAGCAGCAGGAGAGGACTCTTTAAAGTAGAGCCACTACATACTGATATACACCTGGACAGCAGCAGGAGAGGACTCTTTAAAGTAGAGACACTTCATACTGATATACACCTGGACAGCAGCAGGAGAGGACTCTTTAAAGTAGAGACACTTCATACTGATATACACCTGAACATCAGCAGGAGAGGACTCTTTAAAGTAGAGACACTTCATACTGATATACACCTGGACAGCAGCAGGAGAGGACTCTTTAAAGTAGAGACACTAAATACTGATATACACCTGAACATCAGCAGGAGAGGACTCTTTAAAGTAGAAACACTACATACTGATATACACCTGAACATCAGCAGGAGAGAACTCTTTAAAGTAGAGACACTACATACTGATATACACCAGAACATCAGCAGGAGAGGACTCTTTAAAGTAGAGACACTACATACTGATATACACCTGAACATCAGCAGGAGAGGACTCTTTAAAGTAGAGACACTACATACTGATATACACCTGAACATCAGCAGGAGAGGACTCTTTAAAGTAGAGACACTACATACTGATATACACCTGAACATCAGCAGGAGAGGACTCTTTAAAGTAGAGACACTACATACTGATATACACCTGAACATCAGCAGGAGAGGACTCTTTAAAGTAGAGACACTACATACTGATATACACCTGAACATCAGCAGGAGAGGACTCTTTAAAGTAGAGACACTACATACTGATATACACCTGAACATCAGAGGACTCTTTAAAGTAGAGACACTACATACTGATATACACCTGAACATCAGCATAATAGGGCCCATTTCAGGAGGGAACATTTGCCCTGACAACTTCTATGTAAATGCATCTATCTATTTATGTTAGGCAACTCTCACACTACCCTTTTTTTCTCAAGAAGAATGACACAAACACACAAACTTGACCTCCATGCAACTTTCCAGTCTCTTAGGTTAAAACTTTGGCCAATCAAGGGGGGAGAGGATTGTGATGTGGGACAATCCATCCAAGAGACATTTTACTTAAAACCACAAACGTTAGCATCATGGTGGTCAGGTCAACATGAGTGTCTGTTCCAATTATTTTGCCATTCTTTTTAGAGGATATTGAGATATTTCAAAAGGTTAGACCTTCCTACGTCATACAGTATATCCATTCAACAGTTTTTGAGATACATTTCACTTTTGTACTGTTTCTTATTATTCTTACTTGTAATCTAAATTTGTAACAATTTCCAGCATAAAGAATGTTTTTCTCATTTACTTGTAGGGTAGCTTAAAACAATATTTATGAATATTGCTTTTCGTAAGAAAGATATTCCCACATGTCAAGGGAGGCTGTGGCGCAGTGGACTAGTGCGTTGGTGTTGGGATCAGGGGAGCACAGGTTCAAACCCCACTGCAGTCAGCATGTCGTTGTGTCCCTGAGACACTTCACCCCAAATTGCTCCTGTGGGGATTGTCCACAGTATTGAGTATGTAAGTCGCTTTGGATAAAAGCAACTTACATACTCAGTAACATGTGATGTCAGATTCAGTACGTTTCTGTATTTCGAAAACCTTTGTCTTTTAATTCACAGATCATTAAAAATATATTTAAATCTGTATATCCATATTGAGTCCCTCTAGATTTTAAAACCATTACTGAGTAGAAATGCAATATTTATCGTTTATTTGTTCCGTTTTTGTCATTTTTAAACTGGAACAATGGATTTGAGGAACATTTTGGTAAGGTAACAAATTAAATTATCATCTTATTCCCACTCCTCTCTTACAAAATGAATTAATCAGCTGCTGCTATGCATGTAGGAGATGAGCTTTAGGTAAAGTTAAAAGTCACATTTTAACCTCATCATGCAGAGAGAGGTTCCCACAAGATAAAAACAGAAGTTATATAAATGGCATTGTCATCAGCATAGAAGATGTCGAGATAATCATAGCAATGTTTTTCGGTAGGCAACCAATGAAAGTAGACCTGAGTGGGGGTTGTCTCCGCCCCCATTGGTTTGGCCTCACAAGCTTTTAAGTGTATGAAAATAGCACTTCCTGTAGAGATCTCAGTGCACTTCCCCACCCTTCCTTAACGCACCTTGTGCAACACATGCAACTTTTCATTTATATCATTTCATCTTCAACAGAAATGTAACTGTGGGTAAAGAGCCTTTAAAGATGGATGCTCTAGATATCTGAATCAAGATAGCAACTTCTGTTTTTATATGATTATCAGCGCTGTGCTGTGACGGCCTCTTCCCTTTTTCAGCTGTCCGCCCTGTGCAGCATTTCACAACAGGGTGTAGAGGATGAACGTTAGACAATAACCGTGCACCAATAACATATTTTAATAAGCAATCATCTGTTTTCAAAGGTGCACCCATAGCCTGCACTAAAGAAAGAAAGCAATGCATATTTAATGTCTTTTACCAAAACTAGAGAGTGAGATGGAAACAGCTGGACATTATTAAACACAAGTGGTATTTATTATTGTGTTTTTGTGTAATGAACCACAAATTAGAGCTCTTTTATTACAATTATAAAGTACATTTATATTGACAGGATAGCTGAATGCCTCGTTATGAGAAGGACTAAATTAAAAGACAATTTATGAAGCATAACAGTGTCATAATGCCTCTACTTGAAATAATATACAAACACTTTTTTTAGAACATGAATTGAACCCTAACCCTAATCCTAATCCTAACACATGGTTTAAAGTCAAATGAGAATATCTTAAATAAAGTTTTTAATATGAAAACCAGCATCAAGAAATGGAAATCAGTTCTTACCCATTTGGCAATCAGTCATTTATCCAAGAAGAAAGCAAAAATTGGCAAAACCAAAACAGTTACATAAAGTTATGTTGAGATATTTCGATATGTAGACCACGACCACCACGCACCGTGCAGTAACACTTGAATGAAGCAGATGTTGTTATTTAACCCCACCTCTTTCCCATCCTTCAGCGAGTCAGGCCTACTTCTGCATTAAGACAGAGAGAGCGACAACATCCTACAAAATAAAAGCTTCACTGAATATATAGTGCATAAAGACAGAAAGAATGACAACATCCTCCAAAATAAAAGCTTTACTGAATGTATAAAGACAGAAAGTATGACAAAATCCTTCACAATAAAAGCTTTACTTAATGTATAAAGACAGAAAAAAGTACAACTTCCTCCAAAATAAAAGCTTCACTGAATGCAGAAAAATGGAAAGAATGACAACATCCTTTAAAATAAAAGCTTTACTGAATGTATAGTGCATAAACACAGAAGGAATGACAACATCCTTCAAAATAAAAGCCTTAGTTATTAGATAATAGTCAATCAAGGAGGGTTTGTGGTCCTTTCAACATTGAATTTGGGGTTTAAGACCTCTACAACTGTGAATGTAATGTTGACTTGTCACCAACAATAAGACTAAAACAAATGGAATTGTAGATCCAACAGAGACTTTAAAAAAAGTAGTCAACGTTTGTATTTGCTATTTGAATATATACAATGTTGCAGACATTTTGGTTCAACACTGACGCTCAATGGCAAAAAGATGTTAGTTTTGAAAGGCGAAAATGTCATAATATGGTTAAGCTCTAAATGTATTTGAAGTGAACCTATCAATACTTGCTGATTTTAAACAGATCTGTATTTGTCATTTTGCGTTATATGACCTGTTTTGCTAACTTTTATTTTGAAGATGTGGGTTAGGGTTAGGGTTAGGTAAAACAAGAGTGGTCTTGTTTTATTGTGACGTACGAACTCGGGCTGATTTAAACAATAAATACAAAATGTTTTGAGTGGTTAGCCTTGTTTTTGTTCAGGATGATCTTTTAAGCTCTTTGGCTTTATCGAGATTAACGGATAACTGTTATTGATGTGGAATCAGATTTACTTAATGTACATTTAAAGTCAATCTTACTAAAACATATCCTTCCATATATTGAGGACATTTTATGCAAACTATTCAAAATGTTCATACTATGGCAAGATTTAGCAAAACGACAGTGTACATTTTTAAGACAATCACAAATGGACAGCTGAGTTTCTCATTTTTGATCCAACAAATGCATCGACTTTGTTCTACTTAGGAAGACTTGAGTGAGACACACATGTGAACATTTCTAATAGTTGAACCAACAGCTGTTCTGCTGCTCATGTTTCAAATGTAGACGATGATGATGAATGAGAAGAATGATGCTGAAGGGCCATCTAGTGGAATAAAGGGGAAATCACACACATATAGAACTCTTAGTTTATTATCATGAGTTATTGGAGATTTGTGTGTATTTCTGTATTAAAATGTATTTTCATTATATTATATTTCATATACTGACTGTGGACTAATCCATGTGTGTGTGTGTGTGTGTGTGTGTGTGTGTGTGTGTGTGTGTGTGTGTGTGTGTGTGTGTGTGTGTGTGCGCGTGTGTGTGTGTGTGTGTGTGTGTGTGTGTGGGTGTGTGTGTGTGTGTGTGTGTGCATGTGTGTGTGTGTGCGTGTGTGTGTGTGTGTGGACATTTGTTTTTTATGTCAGTGTTAACACCAGCAGTTATCTGCAGTGTGTGTGTGTGTGTCCATGTGTGTGTGTGTGTGTGTGTGTGTGTGTGTGTCCATGTGTGTGTGTGTGTCCATGTGTGTTTGTTTTAGTAGTTCATTTTGGTGAGTGTGTGTTTGCATGCATGATTGCAAATCTGCCCGGACAAAAAAGAGGAAGTTTTAAATAAAGCAGCGGGTTATTTCTGCCTCATCTTCCTCCTTTCAAAACTCTTGACGCTCAGTCATTTCACATTTCTCCACTTGCGACAGCGTCTTTCTCTCTTTGCATTCAACACATTTGATCATACATATGAATTGCATACTGCTTGCATAAGTTGTACTTTTCAGAAGAAGAGAGAAACAGCAGAGGCGGAAGACGAGGTGCAGAAATGAAGGAACTGAGGCAGTAGAGGGAGGGGTGTGAGGGAGGTGTGCAACAGCTTCCTGTAGTCGCTGATCTCTGAGTCTTCCTCCTCTTTGAGTTTCTCTCACAGTGAAGAGCACAGACGCAGCGGAACAGGATGCAGGCTATCAAGTGTGTGGTCGTGGGAGATGGGTACGCCATTATCTTTTTTTCTACATTTGTTATAACTTAAGACGCCTTCAGGTGTTGAACCACGAGCTGATGCATGATGGGGAACTTGTAGCCCCAGGGTCAAGATTGTGGGTTATTTGAAAGAAATGTCACCTAGGTTAGGGTCAGGGTTAGGGTTAGGGTTAGGGGTTGGAACAACTTCAAGTTACAGTTTTCTCAACTTCCGCAGAGTTATGGCTGTTTGAAAGGGGCTGCTGTTGTCTTAAACTTGTTGAGGATCGCAGTGTGTGTGTGTGTGTTGCGTGAGGATCTTTAGGCGTGTGTTTGACAGCGCTGATTTAAAATGAGGGTGTTGGATGGAGCAGGCCACAGCATGCAGGAACATGCAGCACACACTCCGGCATACTGCAGATGGAAAGTCAAGAAAGAACAGAACAGAAAGAAATAGACGAAAAAGAAAAGAGCCATTTAGTTTAAGACATACTTTGGCAGAGGTGGAAGAAGTACTAAGATATTTATCATAAGTCAAAGTAGCTATACCACAGTGTAATAATACTCTGTTAAACAGTTACAATCCTGCATTAAAATCACACTCAATGAAAAGTACAAAAAGTATTGTGTTTCAAATATACTTAAAAGTACCTAAAATGCAGTTGTGAAACCTAACACCTTTACTCAATTGTTGTACTTACTGTAAGTGCTATTTTTAGGTACTTGTACTTTTCTTGAGTATGTCTATTTAATGCTACACATACTTCTACTCCACTACATTTTGGAGGCAAGTATCTCCATTTATTTATTAAACAATCATAGCTACTTTGTACATATGAAAATACATGATGTGATGCAATACATATATGTTTAATACACACAGTTTAAAAACAAATGTATGTACAAGTAATTTACATTTCTACCAACTCAGATTATATATACCTAAATCTTCAAAGTATCTAGAGCTGTAAAATAGTTGTTATACAGTAAAAAGGACAACATTTGCCTACACAATGCAGTGGGATGAAATAATAGAGTTGTTGTACAAATACCTCACATTTCTCAGTACATAAAGTACAATTGCCTAGACAAATTAAGGAGCACAATATAGAAAAATAAGTATTTGATGTAGAAGTATTTCACATTTCTACCTATGTACAAATACGTGTAAGTCAGTGATTTATAAGTTCATTATATGTTTTTATTAATAACATAAATCTGCTATTGCTAGTGACTAAAGTAGTACATTAAAAGGCCTGCATACTGCAATGTAGTGTGGTAAAAGTATAAAGTAGCATCATGTGGAAATACTCATTTGATGTACAAGTACCTCACATTTCTACCTTAGTACATTACTTGTAAGTTAATAGTTTGTAAGTTACATTTCTGTTTTATTCACTACCTAAATCTGCAAAGTAACTAATAAAAGTAATTCTGTAAATGTAGTAAATGTAGTTGAGTCAAAACTAAATCATTCATTTACAAAAAGCAGTGGGGTAAAAATATAAAGTATAGCATCATGTGGCAATACTAATTGGATGTAGAAGTACCTCACCTTTCTACCTAAGTACATTACTTGTAAGTTAATAGTTTGTAAGTTAATTTAGTTTTTTATGTACTACGTAAATCTGCAAAGTGGCAAGTAACTAAAGCTGTAAAGTAAATGTAGTGGAGTAAAAACTAAAACATTCATGTACCAAAAACCAGTGGGGTAAAATGATAAAGTAGCATCATGTGGCAATACTAATTTGATGTACAAGTACCTCACATGTCTACCTAAGTACAGTACTTCTAAGTTAATAGTTTATAAATTAAAATATATTTTGAATTTAATCTGCAAAGTGGCAAGTAACTAAAGCTGTACAATTAATGTAGTGGAGAAAAAACAAAATGTGCCTAAAAGAATAAAGTAGCATCATTTGGAAATACTTTACTTTAAGTACCTTACATTTCTACTTCAGTGCAACACTCCAGTACATGTACTTAAGTATTGGAAAAACTGCTGATTTATGTTGTTTTAAAAAGACTGAAATGCTCTCTCTCAGAACAAGTTACTACAGTGTGTCGTGTACATCAGGAACTTCTAATCTGATACTTGAAGGTGGGGCGAAAACATGCCGGGTGTCTCTTGAATAAGGAAACTGTGAAGCGGAAGTGCTGTAGCTGTTACTGCAAGTGCTCAGGCTGCAGAAAATGTAACATTTCCCAGTGCTACATATAAGGGTACATTACTTACTAGAAAAGTGAGACATTTTGGCTTTTTTTGGTTGACTTCAGCACAGTAAATTAAGGCAGACACATTGTTTTTTATCTGCTGTTCAATTTGAGTTTGTGGGCTGTTTTACTTACGAAACAGGTCGTTGTCAGACTAATGAAAAGAAAACATTGTAGATTTGATCCTAAATCCACCAAAAGTTAGCATTAGGTAATTCCCTTTCTTGTTATTCAAACATAACATTGTAGAACATGTGAAATAAAAAATAAAAATAGCTTTGACATTGTGAGAGCCGGGAAGCTGGCAGTTAAAGCCGATGGTGGTGATGAGTCATTTCTGCCATGATGATTAAAACCATTTTGATGGATGCCACCAATGAACGCTGTACAGATGCAGCTTGTGCAAAATACAATATGTTAAAATAAACTCAGCAGCTGTATTGCCCGCATGATTTAAGATCGTGTTTGTGAGTAAACTAGATGTCAAAAATGTGATTTAAAGCCTCTGTTTGCAGAGAAGAGGAAGTTGTTTGAGGGTAAGAAGGGAAGTGAGCACTGTGCACATATGAGCTAAAATGCTGCTGTTATATGACCCTAACATGGCACGGTGGATTTCAAAAAGGTTACTGTAAGTTATAGCTACATATCTACACCTAATATGTCATGTAATTAGATTGGATTATATATCTTATATTAATATTTCCAAATTGGGAAATTGTTTTGTTACAGGAGTTAAAAAACCCCAACATAAACATTAAATATATATACAAATCCGCAGTGAAAGATCAACATGTATAGAGTATCTTCTCCAAAACAACAAAGAATATAAACAAATATTCCTAATACACAATAATAGACTAACTTCCTACTGAAAAAATATATGAACATAGACGACTATATACAGTTATAAACAGTATTAAACACACAGTTTTTAAAACCCTTCAAGGGTCACTGTGTAGTTGTCAACATAAGTTACATTTGAATTGAGTGTCACTTTTAATTGTCCACGAGCATTGGGACAATATGGGGGGCCAAAAATACTTCTATAGGTCTAAAATGGGACTACACTTCTTTTGAATATAAAGTGTTTGAACGTCTTATTAGCGGTCAAGCTAAAATGCTAACTACACTTTTCAAATCCTGACAGCTGAGTAAATGATACAGTATATTGATATTCAAAGAGTTCTGGAAAGCTAGTTTAACTTCCTAGCATGCTGTTGACTAGTTAGCTTGTTAGCGCTTAGCTTGCTAGTTATAGAGGTGGGAGAAGTACTTAGATCTTCTCCTTGAGTAAAAGTAGAAGTACTCAGATCATGTACTTGAGTAAAAGTAGAAGTACTTAGATATTGTACTTGAGTAAAAGTAGAAGTACTCAGATATTGTACTTGAGTAAAAGTAGAAGTACTTAGATCTTGTACTTGAGTAAAAGTAGAAATACTCAGATCAAAGTAGAAGTACCAGAGTGTAGGAATACTGCGTTACAAGTAAAAGTCCTGCATTCAAAATGTCCTCAAGTAAAAGTAGAAAAGTATTATCATCAAAATATAGTTAAAGTAGCGACAGTAAAAGTAGTCATTGTGCAGATTGGTCCATTTCAGAATAATATATATGATATGTTTTATAATTATTGATCAGTAAAGTGTTATCAAAGCTGGTAAAGGTACAAATTATATTTCACATCATTAATCCAAATCTGTAAAGTAACTAAAACTATTAAATACATGTAGTGGAATAAAAGTACACTATTTACCTGAATTAATTTAAGTATTAATTGTATTGAGTAGAAGTAAAGTAGAAAGTCTGCAAGCCTTTAAACCACTTTTATAAGGCATAGATGCAGTTTACTGGTCTAGTATGTGGTATTTGCAGTCTTCTGAAATGATATCTTTCACGTCGACAAACTTAAGATATTAAACATAAAATGCAGCCATTAAAAACTGAGCCTAATTGACCCTTGTAGACATGGAAGATGCTATCTACTAAACTCCATTTTCTTTCATATGTTCAGCCTTGAGAACAAATGTATGATTAGCTAATCCTCAGAGTTATACGTCAATGAAGTTAAAAGCATTTCCTTAAGCGTGTGGTTTCTGTAGAGGACCAAGTATAGGGAGATGGGGGAGTCTCAAGTGACTAAATAAAGTAAATAAGTTATTGTGATATTTGGGAGATTCTAACCAAAAGGCTGACATAAGCAAAGAGAGACAAGAAGAGAAATACAAATAATACAGAAGTGATGTTGAGAATGGAGAAAGAGATTAATAATAAAGAGTAGAAAGACAGAAGCAAAGACAGTGTGACGTTGAATCTGAATTAAAGTTTGTTCAGCTAGAAGCAGTTAATATATATAATGGTGTCAGCAGAAGATGACAAACAGATAAAGAAGAAAGAGATTGAAGGCTGAACTCTGAGGTGTTGCTGGTTCCTGTTTCCAGTGCTAAACTGATGCTTCGAAAACATGTCACTTCCTATTTGACTCACACACACAACCCAAACATTTACATACAGTATGACCTTTATTAAAATGAACGTAAAACAACGTTTACGAGGTAGTGCCGATAATAGAAGTAGTCATAAAAAACAAACTTGCATGCTTTTTCTTGAGGACCCCACAAAATGGGTTTTAACTCAAAATGTGGTCCTCACAAATACAGTAAAACAAACTTACACACATTCCCATGATCATACCTCTGCGATTTTTACTCGAATGAAACCTTTTTTGATGAGAGACTTTTAATAACTTGATCAGTTTGTAGTGTTGTTCTTTTAATCAGAAAATATTCAGATTTTAGGATTATTTAGTTAATTCAATACACCTTTAAATGTGTACTCAATATGTTTGCCAGCATCACAAAAGTATTTAAAGACACACCTTTGAGTTTTTATGTATTTATTTGAAATGTTTAACTAGTCATGCAGAACATGTAGCTTTATTAGCACAGAGAGGTCAGAGGGAGAATTTTCTGGTACTATTTTAGCCATAAAAACCTCAGTATACCAGTTTTAATGAAACACTGATTCACCAACTTTTTGTTTGAATACACCATGTACCGAGAAATTACATTTTACCTCTCAAAAAGTTCACTGTGCAAATAGCCCCTCACTTCTTGCTGTATTTATTTTATACAAGTACAAATATTTCACTTATTTATAAAGTGAAAGGGGAAAGGCTGGGCAAAATTAAAATAATGGATAAATAATAAAAAAAATGTTTGAGTTTATGGTCCAAGATCATTTGTAGTTTCAAAAGTCAACTCCAAAAATAATTAAAAGGCAATTAACGACCTAAATATTATAAACAAATATGTAGTAAAACTACCAGCAAGCTACTTCAGGATGTAAATTAACTTCTAGTTACATTGCATGAGGTTTATTACTCTTAAACACTGAGGATTTACTTTTATATATAAATATTTTTGCTTTCTCCGGCTTTGTAATGATCTAAAGGCTGCAGCATCTGCTCCTAACTTCAATCAGATTTACCCAGAATGCTCTCTGTTCTGTGTCTCAGAGCCTTGATGAAGATAAGACACAAGTTCTGGTGTTGTTGAAATAATGACAGTAAAACAAAATAGGAACAGAGCTCGTTCATTCCTGTTGGAGCGATTCATGGATATTCAGACAAGATGCTCTAATGAACATGTTAATGCTTCTGAAGGTGTGTTAGAAAATGCATTTAAACTAACATTGTGTAGAATAAACCTTTTTTTAACTATACTGTACCCTAAATATGATTATTTATAATGATATTACATTATTTATCTTATTATATTTCTTATATTAATCTTATTTGAAATGTATCAGTTTATTTGGGGTGTTTTTGTTACTGATTTTATATAATTTATGTTTCTCTCCTTAATAAAAACAGCTGTGTTAATCAAGGCTGACGATGATGCATGTTTCTATGTCCTGTTAAATACATGTTTGTAAGTTTGGACAAGTACTAATTATGGACACACTTAGTCAAGGCAAGTTTATTTATATAGCCCCTTTCAACATAAGGCAATTCAAAGTGCTTTACAAAAATGAAAGGCGTTAAGAAATAGTGCAGAGGAAACACATTAAAAGAAATACAACATTTAAAAGTTGTGCAACATTGCAATACATAAACAAATGTACTTAACCTAAAAAAACGAATGTATTCTTTTAAAAAACATTCTGTAATCCAATTATGAAGTTAAATTAACAATAGAATTACAAACGCTTGATTGTACACTAATTATTTACAAAGTGCAGTATGAGAATGACTGCATTATTTTAGCTGTTTGTTAGGTATTGATTCAGGACTAAGTTTATATCTGATGGTAAATATCTGCCATACTTCTCTCTATTTATAGATATATCTCTGATTTCTCTTTCTTCCTGAAACATTGATGATGATTCTGCATAATTATATCTCTGTTCATGTCTTTCCATTTTGTTTTATAGAGCTGTGGGAAAAACATGTCTTCTCATCAGCTACACAACCAATGCCTTCCCCGGGGAGTACATCCCTACTGTGTGAGTATGAAACACACACACACACACACACACACACACACACACACACACACACACACACACACACACACACACACACACACACACACACACAGGTTTGGGCTGGCAGCTGCCTAAAAGTTAGCAAAACACACTTTTCTGAATATATTTCTTGATAGAATACATATGCATAAAAGCTGATCTATACTGTAAATAGATAAGGAAAATATGTCTAGTAATCTCCAGTTAATAGTCTAGTCAATAATAACGAAGGAACATTAAAGAAAAACTGATACTACTAATACTATTACCAAGGGAAATATTCATTTTCAGATGTTTATTTAATTCATATGTTTTTCTTGTATTGAGCACTGTAGAGAAAAGTAATCAAAATGGGTTTCTCATTCAAATAATCTACTTAATTGGTGCATGTTGTTTCATGTGTGGAACAGTGTGTGTAGAGATTGCAGTATTTCAATGTGACCACAAGAGCACAGTGTTGCTTATTTATTATAATCTAGTAAATTGCACCTGTACTTTTTTTTAATGATACAACAAAAGCAAGGGAATTAAAATCCTTTTAATCCATAAAACCCAAGAGATGGTCTAAATATAAATATTCAGTTTAGCTCTAATTAGCCACTTAATGTAGACATGTATTCATGCTATAAACCAGCCCCCCCTCCCCCCTCTTATATGGTACAACTAAACCACCAAATTATTGTTTCACACCCTTTAAACCATATTTTCACATGCAATTGAAAGTTGTTGAATATATGAAACATGTGAACAAATCTAGGAGTAATTCATAGAAAAAAAAGATATTTAAAAAATAATGTTTGCATTTAGTTTTGTTAAGTATGACCAACATGTTTAAACCATGGAAATTAAAGGTAATATTTTCAGAAGTATTGTGTTTTTTGTGGTACTTCAACACTGATGTGTGTGTGTGTGTGTGTGTGTGTGTGTGTGTGTGTGTGTGTGTGTGTGTGTGTGTGTGTGTGTGTGTGTGTGTGTGTGTGTGTGTGTGTGTGTGTGTGTGTGTGTGTGTTCCCCCCCCTCAGATTTGATAACTACTCAGCTAATGTGATGGTGGACAGTAAGCCGGTCAACCTGGGCCTCTGGGATACAGCCGGACAGGAAGACTACGACAGGCTCCGCCCACTGTCCTACCCCCAGACGGTAAACACACACACACACACACACACACACACACACACACACACACACACACACACACACACACACACACACACACACACACACACACACACACACACACACACACACACACACACACACATATTCACACACACAAAACACACACTTTGTCTCCAAACCATCAGAGGTCCCCATGCCGTGATGAATACCAACTCACATGCACACAGTTCAGGACAACAAATAACATCTACACTGTTTCCCGCTGTGAAACCCAGGAGAATCATTACATTAAAAACAGAAGAAGAAGAACGTATACCCTTATGTATGGAAGTAAATTGACACAAAACGTCTATAAAGAAATTCCTACAAATACTGTTTTGAGGTGAGAATTGATTATATATATAATAAATACAAAAGGAACAAAAATAAATCTATTTTTTTATACAAACCTCCAATAATACATACATTATATACCTGCATATATTGTCACTGGCTTTGGCCTCATCGCAGTATTCAATAGTATTCAATAATATTTTTTTAACCAAACAAATGTATCTTGTAATTTTCAGATTTCTTTTTTTTACATTGTTGTTTTTATCCTTAAATGTATGTAGAATATGTCCTGGATATAATATTATTGTGTATTAAGTTTGCTTTTTCATTCTTAACGCAATTGCTCTATTGTTTGGTAGTGTGGATTTCATTGCTTTGAAACAAAATGCATTCAGTGACCATGTCTTTCACAATTTATCAACCAAAAATCCACCTTTATGTACTTTACAAAAAAAACAACATTAATTTTCATTAAAACAACACAAAGTGAACATTTTAAATAGAGAAGACCAACCATAACTGATTCCCATTGTATTATATTTTTCACTTTCATGCCATGAATGCACTTCAAAAGGGTTCTGAGTTTGTATCCTCAAGGTAGATTGCACATTTTTCAAGTTGATTTGGCAAAAAGCGTCAGATAAATGTAATGCAGTGTAATATAATCTATCATCTAAAGGACTCCTGTCATTGTGTATCCTGCAGGATGTGTTCCTGATCTGTTTCTCTCTGGTGAGCCCGGCGTCCTACGAGAACGTCAGAGCAAAGGTGAGTCTCGTATCTATGTTTTTTTTTACATTTGAGTTAAAATTTTGCGAATTTTAAGAATATTTTCTGTATAGGATGGCAAGAATTGTAAAGGATTTCCAATAGATTACTTGGAAAAGGAGTATTTCCACTCTGCAATAATGGTACTTTTAGTCAAGGATCGGAGCACTTCTTCCACCACTGTTTTCCAAAAGCACACTTTTTTTTTTGGCAGTCCGTTCCAACACGGTCCAAAGTTATTCGATTAAATATATTACAATTACATAAACTGAGAAAGGCAGTCGACTTAAATGTACAATTAATACATATTTAGTTCTGGTTTTAAGGTTTCCGTCCATCCCTATTCTATTCCTGCATATGTCTATCAGGGTCATGCACTCTAAATGATTCAGCCATTCAATCAACAAACATCAGAAGCAAACACTTGCATGTTTGTAGCATTTTGACACTAAAAGCTTTCCTGTACGTCACTCTCATCTCAAGTGCTTTCTTGGTTTTAGTCGTTTTTGATGTATTCTCCTTTTCTTGCACATGCGATGACGCAAGCATCAAAACCGTAACAAAAGCAGAGCGTCTGTTAAAACCACTCGCTGCTCCTCAACTCTAAACATCCCCTATAGAAACATCAATACTATGCAACAAAATAAACAATATTGGTTAGACTTGATTGATATGATTCACATATTGGTGCCATGAAGTGGTTTGCCCTTAGATTAGATGATATGGAATGAAACTCAAGAGAAAGAGGTAAATACGTTATCATTTTACACCCAGAAAACTATTGCCAAGAAGTAGAAATAATGGTTGCATTTCCTATTTGTTTGTAAGATAAAGAGATTTAACTTTTGTATTGTCTTTCCGTCAATAGGCAACTTTTGTTGACCCGGTCTGGTTTGACTCTTTCTAAAGCATATAAATAATAATCACCAAATTCAGTTGTTTAGGTTTTTATCCAACTTCATTCCAAGTTTTACACTTTTTGGGGAATTCATGGTCAATAGATTACATTTACACAAATCTTCTAATTTTGAGGTGCAAAGATGTTGATATATTTTTAAAAGTTACGTTTTTGTCAGACATTCAATACAATTTGACCCAGAATGGATACACAGATGCTATAAATGTTGTTATGGAATAATTTGCTTAGTTGTTCAACCTCTTTTCCCACGGCATAGTTCTACAGTATTGCTGCTATCTCTCTTAAGGAGGGGCAGCTTGGGCGCATTGCTGTTGCCAGTCTATGACAGAGCACAAGCTGACATGAGATAGTTTACTGTTCAGGGATGAAGGTTCCCTGGCGCACATTATTTCCTATGGACGAGAGATTCAGGGTCCATATTGCTTTAGTCTCGCTGATGAAGAAAGTTGATTATTACACTCTGAACTAGTTAAAACCTCGAGCTGCAGAAAGAGTTCTTCAGAATTGGTTTGGCTACCGCTGTGTCAACACGTGACACACCACCTGTCGTGTGAATTCTCCGGCCGTAACTCCAAATAAACCACCAGTGTTTGCCATCAAAGCTCCAGCTCTCCTCGTGTCTCTCTGAGTCCTGTTTCCAATTGCTTCAGAAGTTTCCCCCACAAATGTGATCATTCATTTGCTTGTGAGGAACGTATAGACCTATCAATTATTTGGCATTAGATCATCACTTCCTCTGACACAAAATAAGCATAAAAGGTAGCCTGTAAAATAAATTGACGGGCACTGAAGACAGTGTTGGAATATTTACTGATATATTTGAGCCAATAGTTAAGTTAAATGTGTAATGCTTTGCAGAAAATAAGTCCTACCTTTTAGATTTAAAATACACAAATCATTTTAGACAACTCAAGTCCAAGGTAATTCGGAGCAAGTCTCGAGTTCAACGGCTTTTTTACCAAGTTACGTTTCAAGTCAATCAAAACAACAATGATGACTTTGAAGACACAATTCACTACAAATTGTTGCAGATTTATGATTGTGGGATTTTAAAAACAGGAAACTTGAATTGTTTTACTTTCAAATCTTAAGTCAAGTAGCCCTAGCTTTAAGGATTCAGTATTATACAAAGTAAAGTCTCTGTAGTTTAATATGTTATCATTTTAAATAATTGAATCCCTAACTATCTGTGTGGGCGCTAACATATCTCACTTCTGACTTACTTCTTTGAGCATGTGTGGTTTCCTAACTGAGGAAAATTGATGGAGAGAGAATCAAAAAAGTAAAGAGTAGTGTGAGAGAAGAAAAGGAAGAATTAAAATAGGGAACGATGATATGAGGTAGGAAGGAGGAAGCGATTGAGAGATCAGAAGGAAAGGCTTCAGTGTGTGTCCTGGTGAGAATAGACGAAATGTAAGGATTTTGAAAGAAATCGTAAAGTAGGAAATGATAGTGGAGGACAATATAATACAAAACATGGGGCTTATACATACCTAAAGCATGACCTTTGCATTTTATGACTTATCTCATTCTAATTTCGGAGACCAGGCTGACTCCATCCACCTTTTTTATTCCTCCTGGCTTCTCCCCACTCGTCTCCTTGTCGTTTTCTTTTTCTTAGACACATACCTTCACTTTGGGTTTTCCAATGTCTCTCTTCTCATTTGGTTTTTGCCTTTAATTCTGTCCAGTGGTACCCAGAGGTCCGTCACCACTGCCCCTCCACACCCATCATCCTGGTGGGCACCAAGCTGGATCTGAGGGACGAGAAGGACACCATTGAGAAGCTGAAGGAGAAGAAGCTGGCGCCAATCACCTACCCACAGGGCCTGGCTCTGGCCAAGGAGATAGGTGAGGAACAATTATTGGTCCCAGGACTTCAGGACAGCATAAGGGTTAGAGGTTATGGTAGTGTTTAGGGTTTGGGGGTGAAAAAGATGGAATTGCAAGGTTATAAATCCACCAAGTATTTGGGAGATGCCAATACAATTTGTGAGTGGGAAATTCTTCGGGAGCCTGCGGAGTCACTCGCCCCATTCATTTTCAAAGGGATCCCAATTTGTAAGGGCAGTCAATCTGGCGGTAGATAAGCATGGGACATACTGCCATATTTGAAAGGTCCACCAGGTGGCGCCATCACCCATATTTTTTAAAGGTCACCTATTATGCAAAATCCACTTTCTCATATCTTTTATACATCAACATGTCTCTTTACACAGAGGGGACACATGTCTCTTCTACATCATCATGTGTCCCCTCTTCTTCATGTCTCTTCTACATCAACATGTGTCCCCTCTTCTCCATGTCTCTTCTACATCAACATGTGTCCCCTCTTCTTCATGTCTCTTCTACATCAACATGTGTCCCCTCTTCTTCATGTCTCTTCTTCATCAACATGTGTCCCCTCTTCTCCATGTCTCTTCTACATCAACATGTGTCCCCTCTTCTCCATGTCTCTTCTACATCAACATGTGTCCCCTCTTCTCCATGTCTCTTCTACATCAACATGTGTCCCCTCTTCTTCATGTCTCTTCTACATCAACATGTGTCCCCTCTTCTTCATGTCTCTTCTACATCAGCATGTGTCCCCTCTTCTTCATGTCTCTTCTACATCAACATGTGTCCCCTCTTCTCCATGTCTCTTCTACATCAACATGTGTCCCCTCTTCTCCATGTCTCTTCTACATCAACATGTGTCCCCTCTTCTTCATGTCTCTTCTACATCAACATGTGTCCCCTCTTCTTCATGTCTCTTCTTCATCAACATGTGTCCCCTCTTCTTCATGTCTCTTCTACATCAACATGTGTCCCCTCTTCTTCATGTCTCTTCTACATCAACATGTGTCCCCTCTTCTTCATGTCTCTTCTACATCAACATGTGTCCCCTCTTCTTCATGTCTCTTCTTCATCAACATGTGTCCCCTCTTCTTCATGTCTCTTCTACATCAACACGTGTCCCCTCTTCTTCATGTCTCTTCTACATCAACATGTGTCCCCTCTTCTTCATGTCTCTTCTACATCAACATGTGTCCCCTCTTCTTCATGTCTCTTCTACATCAACATGTGTCCCCTCTTCTTCATGTCTCTTCTACATCAACATGTGTCCCCTCTTCTTCATGTCTCTTCTTCATCAACATGTGTCCCCTCTTCTTCATGTCTCTTCTACATCAACACGTGTCCCCTCTTCTTCATGTCTCTTCTACATCAACATGTGTCCCCTCTTCTTCATGTCTCTTCTACATCAACATGTGTCCCCTCTTCTTCATGTCTCTTCTACATCAACATGTGTCCCCTCTTCCTCATGTCTCTTCTACATCAACATGTGTCCCCTCTTCTTCATGTCTCTTCTACATCAACATGTGTCCCCTCTTCTTCATGTCTCTTCTACATCAACATGTGTCCCCTCTTCTTCATGTCTCTTCTTCATCAACATGTGTCCCCTCTTCTTCATGTCTCTTCTTCATCAACATGTGTCCCCTCTGTGGAAAGAGACTCAGAAAGTTTCAGGAACAAAGATTCTCTCTCTTTTTGTCCTGATCCATTTATATAAAAACCTGTCTGAAAATGAGCTGATCAGATTTTGGACACTTTATGATGTCATAAGGATGTTTTGGCTTGTGTAACCATTAGCCAATCACCAACCAAGGTAACCCCCCCCCCCCACCTTATCACCTGAATCTCCTCCTAGAGCACCATTGAGTTCTTTGTAACCAAATCTCTCTCAGAGGGGCGTGGGGAGGGGCTCCTTATTTTCATCTAAAGTAACAGATAGAGAATCAGCACTTTGGAAACAGGGCTGAAACAGAGGGGATTATGGGTAATGCTGCAATGATCTGTTCATCTGCCAATCAGAGACAGGTTCTGTATATATCTGAGACCTGTGATATATTGATGAAAAACAGTACAATAGGAGACCTTTAAATATCCCTAATATCGAATATCGAAATGTCACCATTCTGAATTTGAAAAATCGTACCATTTTGGCATTTTCCCGCACGTTCCTATTTGTTAGTTAGGATTCGTTTGACTGACACTAATTCCTAAACTTGTTTCCCTGAAATAGCAGTATTTGTAAGTAGGGAATGTCTCGTAGTATAAAAAATGGGTCAAAGCCCATTACAGTCGCCTTTGACATGTTGCTGTTCCAGTGGCTTTTCCTTGTGATTCAACATGCAGGTTCTTTCAAATACCCTGCATCTGTATTTCTTGTCTAATGTGAATAGAAAGTGCTGTTTGCATACAATGGATTGTCCTGTTGTGTTGGTGTAGATTCGGTGAAGTACCTGGAGTGTTCGGCTCTGACCCAGCGCGGTCTGAAGACAGTGTTTGACGAGGCCATCCGGGCCGTGCTCTGCCCCCAGCCCACCAAGGTCAAGAAGAAGCCCTGCTCACTGCTGTAAACGGTGAGTCTGAAGCAAAGACAGACGAGAGAAGAGAACAACAGCAGACATTTCGAGTGAAAAAGCACAGGTTTTACATATAACTATCAATTGTAAGAGAGAGACAGCAAGAACGCAGGAATGAATCCAACACCCTGAGAGTCAGCATTTTAGCACTTCCTGTCCCCTGGTCTGGAAGCCAATGGTTTTCTATATGTGTTTTTGGTAGATAGTCTGAAATAAGGTCTGGGATGAACACAAGCTGAAGAGATTTTAGCATTTTGTTTTACGACATAAAATACGTCAGTAAATACCCCACTGGTGAATTTAAAAGTGTCTAAAAGAGACGACTACACGTCATTACGCCCAACATTAGCCACCTTAAGCTTAGCGGTGGTGACGTGAAGTCATGTGACCATGCTGTAGTTCCTTTATAGCCCAACATTAGCCACCTTAAGCTTAGCGGTGGTGACGTGAAGTCATGTGACCATGCTGTAGTTCTTTTATAGCCCAACATTAGCCGCCTTTAGCTTAGCGGTGGTGACGTGAAGTCATGTGACCGTGCTGTAGTTCCTTTATAGCCCAACATTAGCCACCTTAAGCTTAGCGGTGGTGACGTGAAGTCATGTGACCATGCTGTAGTTCTTTTATAGCCCAACATTAGCCGCCTTTAGCTTAGCGGTGGTGACGTGAAGTCATGTGACCATGCTGTAGTTCCTTTATAGCCCAACATTAGCCACCTTAAGCTTAGCGGTGGTGACGTGAAGTCATGTGACCATGCTGTAGTTCTTTTATAGCCCAACATTAGCCGCCTTTAGCTTAGCGGTGGTGACGTGAAGTCATGTGACCGTGCTGTAGTTCCTTTATAGCCCAACATTAGCCACCTTTAGCTTAGCGGTGGGGACGTGAAGTCATGTGACCGTGCTGTAGTTCCTTTATAGCCCAACATTAGCCACCTTTAGCTTAGCGGTGGTGACGTGAAGTCATGTGACCGTGCTGTAGTTCTTTTATAGCCCAACATTAGCCGCCTTTAGCTTAGCGGTGGTGACGTGAAGTCATGTGACCGTGCTGATCACTAAAAGATGATTTAAAGGCGTATACTTCATCAAACATATCGTTCCTCAAACTCAACCAAGAGAATCAGGATGGGTGAAAATATGCCAAATTTTGCAAAGAGATACGTAAAAAGCTCGAGACAGATGAAAATACACAGAGAATAAAGGCCAATTGTTCTGAATTGATTTATGCAATATCAGCTTTGACATACAATTAAATATCCTTTTGCAGCACTTGGGTAATTATTTCTAAGCCTTCAGGGCAGATTTCTAATTTGCCGGAGAAAGACAGACACAAAAGCAACAATTTAGAAAATACAGCAATCATTTCTCTTTTCTCCACAGGAGAAACATTAACAAATGAAAAACACAAAGGAAAAAATTGCTAATTTAAGCTTCATCCTTTTTTTAATTAGCATTATCATTGTAGGACCGATGGCTTCCCGCTGGCATGTCAATATGCCAAGTGACAGAGAGCGATTGAAGACGTGACAGAGAAATTATTTGTACATCCTTGCATGTGGAGTAATACGTGTTTGCTGATAGCATTGAAGCAGGAGTACATTTTCCTAACAGTGCTATTTCAACCTGTGTTAATGAAGCTGTGACGGATGCATGTGGTCTTCAATGTTTCTTTTATATTCTTGCAGGACCAGAAACAAGAGAGGGAGAGATTGAGACTGATGACCCGACGTTAAAGAAGAAGATTAAACTGTTCTGTTATGTTATGTGTCTAGAAAACTTCAACTAGATTTCCAGGAGTAAAAAAATAAAGAAATTGATAAATAAGTAAAAACCCTTTCTCTTCAGCAAGATTTTCAAAGTCATGGGAGAGACAAGGTAGAATCCATCAGTAAAGTTTAGCATTTTAGCAACAGACTGCCCAAAGTAAAACTAGAAACATGAAGATGTATCCAAAACTCCTGCACACCAGACTGATCCCACATACTAATATGTATTAATGCAAAGATAGTGTTGTGATAAGATTTGTTCTACGAAAGTGACGAACAATGTAAAAAAAGATCAATAAGGAAAGTAGTTTTTGTATGAGCAGAGAGCAGAACAATATTGTATTTGATTAAAACTATAACAAACATATTATTTGTTGTGATGTTAAAATAAAAATACATTTTATCAAGTAAAACGTCTGCAGAGAAAGCGTTATTTCCAATGTCGGTAAACCACAGATTTCACGGTTACTGCACAGTTTCTTTCTCCTGATGGATGAAACAGCTCAGAGTGGAGGTAACGCTGATACATCTGTATTCATTTCTGCCATCTGCTTCAAGTATCATCCGTCTCACTTTGCTTTCCTACAGGACGAGACAGTGATATCAATCTGATTTATTTGTTTGTACGGCTATCAGATTAATGGAGGAGAGGTTCTACTAATCTTTTCTCCAGATGAGAAACATTGCTCTTTTATTAGTTTAGGTGTGTGTGTCAATAATCCTGTAAGGCTCAAATCACATTGTACCACGACTACCAGAGCTTAAAGCCACAACTTAATGCAACATTATGTCATTCTGCTATTTATTTAAGCTTAAAGGAGAGGTGTCATGGCCATTTCCACTGATCATAATTCCATTGTTGAGGTCTACTAAAATAGATATATACTGTGCATTTTTCCAAACTCACATTGGTTTCTCATACAGCATCTCTGTAAACTCACATTGGTTTCTCATACAGCATCTCTGTAAACTCACATTGGTTTCTCATACAGCATCTCTGTAAACTCACATTGGTTTCTCATACAGCATCTCTGTAAACTACGTGTATTCAATGAATTTCACTCTCTGCCTTTAACGGCTCGTTGTAGCTCCAATAGCTCCAGCCCCCACCCTCCCTGTGAGCACAGAGTGTGCTCTGATTGGTCGGGACGTTGTGAATCGCGCTGAGCTCCGTGGAGGTGTGGTTTCCTTGTTTAGGATACATAGCGAAACACAGCCAAACTCATCCTGAGCACACACAAACTCACATCCGAAGTAAAAACAATAAGTGTGGCTTGATATTGAGTAAGAAAAAGGTTGATAAACGCTGTGAGAATGGGTCTGCGATCCCAACTGTCTGTTATCAGCCTGCAGCCAGGGAGGAGAAATCAGCAGAGCTGCCTGTGTGTGAGGAAGTCCGTGGATTGGTCAATTTGGACCAATCAGCGGGGGCTTAACGTAACGGCTCCGCGGATTGGTCCATTTCGTTCCCGGAAGAATCAAATGGACAATGACGTATCTCCAACGAGGCGTTTTGGGGAGGTCTTTTCTGTGTTAGAGTTTTACTCGCTACAGGGTGTACTTTGAGGGTTTTGACTCTGCACACCGTTTACATGCATAAAAACCTTCATAACACACAAGGGGACGGGTAATAACCGGAAAAGCATGACACCTCTCCTTTAAAATAGTATAAATGAGGCAGACTTCACTTGACAAAGCATAGGTGTGTTTTACTATAGCATGCTTTCATTTAAACAGGCCCTATCGTGCACAATTTCCAGGTGAATATCAGTATTTGGAGTCCATGAGAGGCCGTCTAGCTCACAACTCATACTTGGTCTTACAAACAATATCAGAATCTCACACATACACCAATAAACTATTTTATACATCATACTATAATATAATACTCTAGTAGTGTATGCAAGATAGAAAACTTTGTGTGTGAGAAAGAATGATAGTGTATGTGAGAGAGGAATTGTAGTATGTATGAGGGTATAGTAGTGTGTGTGAGAGAGAATGATAGTGTATGTGAGAGAGGGATTGTAGTATGTATGAGGGTATAGTAGTGTGTGAGAGAGAATTATAGTGTATGTGAGAGACAGTGGCGAGCCGTCAGGGCCCTCTAGGCCAGTGGTTCTCAACTGGTCAGGCCTCGGGACCCACTTTTTACTTGGTCAATACATCGCGACCCAACATTTTGAAGCACTCAAATCTATTCAACAAAAAATCGTGCTGTAATATATATATACGCTTTTGAGCATACAATATTAATAAAATAAATTGAAGTACAGTGCATATATCCCTTATATCCCTTCACAGAACTAAAGTATGCTTTTAAAAAAGGTTTAATGAGATGATGGAATCAAAGCTGAACTATATAAAAAGGCACACATGCTGAAACCCAACCCCAGCAGGGGGGTCTGGGGGGATTCTCCCCCAGAAGATTTTTAGAAATACTAACATAAACTACGCATTCTGGTACACTCTGAGAAGAAAATCGGGCCTTCAAAATAAAAGTTTGACTTTTCCCCCCCAAAAAAAAAAAAAAAAAAAATCCAATTTTTTTTTTCCAACTTTTTTTTCTTCACTCACACATCCGCGACCCACTCGAAACGGGTCCGCGACCCACTTTTGGGTCGCGACCCACCAGTTGAGAACCACTGCTCTAGGCCCTCTGTGAGGGCCTAAGATATTCTAAAAAATAATATTTAAAAACATTTAAAAAATATATATTTTTTTTAAATATATATTTTTTTAATATTATTTTTGTTATATTTTTCATTCGTTTTACCGAAAAAAAACTTGATTTAATTGTATTTAAAATAACATTTCCAAATAAATAAATCCTTCGAATCTGCCTGTTCAGTCTCTGTTGAATGTGAGAAGCTCGTCTGGCCCTCTCTGCGATTCACAGAGGGCCCGCTATAGTAACTGAACGAGAGAGTAATGTCAAATGACAGTACAATTGACCAATCATATCTTCCCTCTAAATTGGTGGGTTTTATTATCGCAGACTTTATGACAAGTTCCGCCCGCTGTGAAACTTTTCTTGTTTCCATAGCAACAACAACTTCCTGTCAACAGCGTGAACTCGCCTTCAAAATAAACGCATGCCAAATTACACTTAAGACATACAACTGCAACGAAAGTAACAAACACAATGCAATATCATTTTCAATGTCAAAGAACACAAATTGGGTTCACAGGTGTTGTTTTGTGTGGTAGAGGGTCGCTGTCATTGATGCGTTTTGCACCCTGGGCCGTTGTTTTGATATTCCGCTGAAGTATACGCTGTGACGTAATAACTCTTTTTTTTTTTTTTTTCGAGGGAATTTGTGGGGGTCAGAGGGCCTAGGTATAAAGCTCACGGCTCGCCACTGGTGAGAGAGGGATTGTAGTATGTATGAGGGTATAGTAGTGTGTGTGTGAGAGAGAATGATAGTGTATGTGAAAGACAATGCTTGTGTTTTTGAGAGCTTATGACAGTTTATGTGAGAGGACATTGTACTGGTTGTGAGAGAGTATACTTTAAAAGGAAGTCAGGTTGATCCAACAGGAGGCCAGTTTAAATATGCATTCCTTGACTGGTTTACAGCCTCGAAAACAAAGCCTGAAGCTGCTCAGAGCACTGCTAGCTAAATTTAAGCTGCAATAAGAACTTTTGTTAACACTTTATATTAAAGTGGACCTATCATGCTATATTTGAATAATATAGTGTAGGACCATACCTATATAAGGCATAGTTATACTTTTTGTTTTTCAAAATACCAAACAGATCATGCATTTTAGCCATGCCTCATTTCGCTCAATTTGAAATGTTTTAGCTCTGTTTTTGCAAGGGCTGATTCAGTGAGAACAGCACCATCTACAGGCCTGGCATATGTACTACAGCGTCTCCAGCGCTTTCGAACGGCAATGGCCGTGGCTGTCTCCTCCTGATTGGTGGAGTTGGCCCAATAGCCGTAGCGCCACCGTCCTGACGTCAGGACAGTGTTCAAATCTGGATCAGTTTTTATCAGATCCGTTGCAGCCCCTTTTTTAGAGATTTGGGTATGGAGGAAAATAGAGAGGGTTGTGTTTTCTGACACTTGGTGAGTTCCCTGGAACACCGGGGACACATATTCATGTAGAAAAGACGTACAAAAGTGCATTTTGCATGATAGGTCCCCTTTAAGGTACACAAAATCACCGTCAACTAGTTGTTAATTAACATGCATGTTAGCAGTATATTGGCTCATTATTAGTCATTATAAAACACTTATTAATGCCTTATTCTACATGACCATATTCTACAAGTAATAGGCCATTAGTTGAGAGGTTTTCCTCAATAACCCTCTAATTGGTGCTTATTGATTGCAAGTAAGGAAGTTGTTTGGTCTTAATATGCTCAATATGGGCCTAATAAGGCAGTAGTACCACAAGAATATGATCTATCCTTATGTAACAAGACATGAAACTATAAGTGTTAATTAAGTCTAAATAACTCAAAATTAGGTATTTATATCTAAGAACATGTTCCCTATTTTAAAGGGAAGTCTTGTTCATAACCAATAAGCTAGTAGTTTGACTCTAATTGACCTGAACAGGTTCCCTATTCTAAAGTTGCCTCCTCTTCACACTGTAAATACATTATAGCACACAACTACTGAAATTAACCTCAACAGTACATGAACAAAGTAGGCACACGTTGAAATATCTGTTTTATTAATGAACCACTAAAGAGAGGTTCAGACACATACCAAAATATGTCAAGTTTCTCCAAGGCTGAGAACACATAATGCAGCCTGTACTTTTGAATAAAAACAGATTTTTAACAGATTGTATGTATTTGTGATCATACTGTGTGACCTGCTTGTATGTATTTACACAATAGGTGTACTGTTCTCTCTATGTGTTGTACTGTCTCAGTGTGAACATAGACTCAACAGCCAGCCAAACTCTTTTGAGAGCCAGGGAATGAGCAGCCATGCTCCTTTATTGACTTATTTGCAGTCCACCTTATCACCTGAATCTCCTCTAGAGCAGGGGTTCCCAAAGTGGGGGTCGCGAGATGATTACAAAATAAAAATTCCAAATAATTTTTTTTTTTTTTTAAATTTCATTTTTTATTTTATTATTATGAATAATAACGTGTGCATAGACATTTTTCAGGGACGGACTGGCCATCTGTATAATTTCCCTGCAGCGAGGCTCCCCCCGTTGATAATCCACTAGCGCAGTGTTTCCCAGAAACACACAACCCTTTCATCTTCTTCTTCTTCTTCTTCTTCTTTCTTCTTCTGTGGTGGAGGTGTGTTTGAAGAGGGAAGAGGGATTTTCACTTTTGTTTCGTTTGTTTCTATCGTTTCTTTAACTGT